ATTCCTGCCCTGGGTCGGCTCACACCACTCTACCCCTTGCTGCACTCAGGAGAGTTCATGTGACTAATTATATCATTTTGAAAATAAACAGGCTCAGCCAAATTTCCTTGTCAAGTAAAGAAACTTGTTCTGCAAACAGGCTGTGAACAGTTTGCCTAAAAACTCCTGCAGTGGGCTGCTCATGAAGGCTAGTTCCACTCTTCTACTTGGGGAAGACAGGTGCAAGTCAACCAAAGCTCCATTGCAACAAAGAAGCCAAAGGCAGAACAGTCCTGCAAACTAAACTCTTATTTAACCCGAGAAAGGTTTCCCTCACAAGAGATTAGAAGTGTCCCAGTGATAGACAGTGAAAAATATTTTTCTTTTGTAACTGAAACTAGATGGGTGGGTCAGATTAGGGTTACGCTCTACTCACTTCCCCAGGATTCAGATAAAATGGTTCTGGTTTTGGCTTAATGCTGTTTGACAGAGCAGCAAAAAGGGAAAATATCTCCTAAACTATTGTTGCATTTCAGTGCCAAATAAGAACTATATTATGAAGCCCGTGGGGGATGATGTGTGTGTATAAAGGTGAGGGGGGGGAATAAAGAAGGGAGTTGATTGATTGGTAAGAAATACTGTCCCTGAGAGGTGTTTTTTGTTTGTTGGTTTTGTTTTGCTTAGAACTCAGCTACTTGTAACTGTAATGAATTAGAGATGCCTATTGTAACTAAGGTTTTAAACTTTCCTCAATCTTTCCCAAACAGGACATAGAACCTGTGCAGAAGCCAGAAGAGGTAATTTGTGTGCATCTTCATAAAGTCATGCAGAAGGTGGAATGTGTGTGTTTTTTTTCAGTAGCTTAGCTTCGTTAACCATTCGGTATCAACATTTGTAAGAGGGAGGAGCAGACCTGCAAATAAGGTGGTGTAGTGTGATTCAAAGAATATATTATTTTCTCCTCCATTTGTTCTGTGAGGTTTATTTCTTTTTTTCTCCCACTTCTTTTTGTCTCTTCACATGTGTCCCGTTTTTTCTGCCTGCCTGAGAATGATTAAAGTTGCTTACTAATTACTGTTTTTCTCCAAGAGCTCCTGCTTTTAAAATAGTGGCAAAGCTGGCCCTCCAATTTTATTGGTAGCTTTGTATTTTGAATTTTGTATCTTAGAAACCTTTCAAGTTCAAAGTATTGCAGTAAAGTGGTGCACTGGTGGCTGCCTACAAACTCATCAGGGGAGATCAACAGCAAATAGGTAGAGCCCATTTCTCCCCAGCACCACCTGGGGTGACAAGGAACAATGGTAATAAGCTGATGGAGAATAGGTTTAAGTTAGAGATCAGAAGACAATATTTTACAGTTAGGGTGGCCAAAATCTGGAACCAGCTTCCTAGGGAAGTGGTCTTCTCCCCTACCTTGGGCAAATTCAAGAGGAGGTTGGATGATCACCTGTCTGGGGTCTTGTGAGCCCAGCATTCATTCCTGCCTGTGGCAGGGGGGCAGGCTAGATGATCTGTTCAGGTCCCTCCTGACTCTAGCTACTATGAAACTATGAAGTGGCTAATTTTTTTTATGGTGGGTTCTATTAAGGAGTCAGCATTTGTGAGCAATTACTATGCAGTGATAGCTAATATGTGGCAGCTATTCACTGTTCTCTAATGAGGAAAGAATCATAGGTGCTACTTTTTGATGATGACTATGTCCTGTTAGTAAAAAAGGAATTGTCTGTGTCTGAGATGGATTTACCTCAGTCATCAGTCAGATGGCTAGAGAGAATGAAGTTAAAATAGCATATGGCTAAAAACTCAGAAAAGCTAACATCCTGATTAGTGTTACTCTACATTTTTAAAAATATCTGGTAGAGTTGGAGTGGTGTAGTTGTGATGGTCCAGGAAATACAAAAGAAACAAGTATCAAAACAGAAAGACTTTCTAATTTCTTGCTTCGCAGTGCTTCTACAGGCATCCATAGAAACTGAAAGCTAACGGGATGAGAGAGCTTGGAATCTAAAGACTGTGTGAAGATGTTTTTGTGTATTACCATATCTTACAGTGCCACCTTTATTACCTCAGAAACTTTGTAGCAGATGCATTTTACTCTTGTAAGGGCAGTCTAAATCATTCTAAATCCTGATCATATTCAACTGAATATCTTTTTCTATTTTTAATCCCACTGCCCTATTCTCACAGTGGACAAGCTGCCACATGGCTTTTCAGCATTCAGTGTTCTTTTTTGGAGCACTAATGCTGAGTCCTCAAGACTTGTTTCCCTGTCTGTTCAGAATAAAGCTCCAGCAGGTGGTGGTAAATTTGGAAACCTCCCTCCAAAATCCCCGACTCAAGGTAGCATCGGAGAGGAGGACGGTTTTGGCACACGTAAAGCCAGATCTTCATTTGGCCGCGGCTTTTTCAAGATAAAAAATAACAAGAGGACAGCAAGCGCCCCCAATTTGGGTAGGTACCATACACCTGAGTACCTTTTCAGGGTATTTTCAATAAGCGTCTTTTTTCCTAATTAGAAAGATTATCCATTGCAAATGCTAGTGGGCCAACCACAGTCTGATTCAAAGATATTTTTCCAAGTAGAAGTGCATTTCAAATAATGCAGAAACCAATAGCCACACCACAGCAGTGCAGGTACGGGTAGTCCTGCATTACTGTCTCAGACCAGTGGGTCCTGACCTTTCTGCGGTACTGGAATGTGCTGATTCCAAGTGTTAGTTTACGTTACAAAAATGCAACAATCAACCTGCATCTTTCTTTCTCCTGTTTTACCTTTATCTTAGAGTTAATGAGGCTCTTAGATGTTTGAGTAGAGAGAGTAATACAACTACCTTGCATACACATGCACACTGTATTTTAATGTATGTTTTTATGGATCGTTTGAATACTAATGATTGGGACTGGACTGAGGAAGGATACCCTTCTTGAAATTTCCATTTGTTTCTGTCACTTGGTAATACTTCCATATTGAAATGAAACAAGTAATACCTTAGACATATTGCAAGGAGAACTTAGGCAGCTTAGGGCACCTATCCACATGCCCAATGCCTGCTTCAATGCATTCTAATTACAATGTGTTGGAGCAGACTTGATTAATTGAGTCTGCTGGAGAGTGCTAATTAACACACTCCAAAAGTCTCAGCATCACATGTATTCAGTGTTCCCATGCTTCAAAATGGTGGTGGGGGTGCTTTATCTTGTTAATGCTTCAAAATGGTGGTGGGGGGGCTTTATCTTGTTCTGTGAGCTTTAGTTAAAGCACCCCCGCCTCCATTTTGAAGCACAGGGTGCTGAATACATGAGATGCTGTGGGTGCTTTAATTAGTGGCTTCCAAGAGCAGCTCTAATTAAAGCTCCCCATCCCCCTCCAACACTGGAACAGCTGTAAAGACGCCTATAGAGACATACCTGCAGTAGCACCTGTCCAAGAGCAGTCTTTCTATCCTTTTAATAAAAACACCAGCAAAATTTGTGCATCTGAAAGGCATCTACCCATGCAGAAGTTTAATTTCAACTTGAGAAGGGAGAGTATCTTCATCCTTCAGCTTAACTGAGTTTTAATTGTCACCATTTGGAGCAGAATAGACATTTGCTTTTATTACACAGAGGTCATGCCAGACCTTTGCTCATTGGAGATTATCCACGGGAGTAAATTATCAGGGGGAGAGGGCTGGGTTGTGTTGTCTCCATCACTGTCTAACCTGCACTTAGAAACTATCAAAGATGTTCCTCAAAAGAGGAGGGACAATAGCGACAGCTGGACCAAGACTGGACTGGTCTTGAGACCTTGGGCAGTCTCACAAGGAAGATGAACTATGCTGTGCTGAACCCAAATGAGCAGTGTCACCCTATTTTGGTTTGCCTTCATAGATAGGCACATGTTTTACTGCTGTGTTAAGAAGACTCTCACCGGCAAAACTTGTGTTACAGCAGCAGTGACAGATATGATCCAGCATCAAGTAATGGAGTTGTGTTACATGAACTCTTGAGGTCCCTTCCAGCTGTGTTTTCAATGATTCATTGATCCACAGCCATATTTTTCTTTCTCCCCCATATAATATAGAAATGTATTGGTCTGCCTGGAACAGATTTAGTGTCCATTTGGATGGTTAGACCAAACTGTCTCATCTCTAGTTGTAATCACTTCTTTGTCTGATCTCTGCAATGGAACAAAAAAATGCAGTTGTTAAATAAGCCTTGCAAACTGAAAGTGGTGGAGTCTCGTGGTTCCAGTAGAAGACAGAATGATGGGGTTTCTGGTCTTGTGTTTACTGTACGAATTGAGGAAAGTACCTTATTTTGTTTATGTTTCATTGGATCTATCCGTATAACTGATGTCATGATATTTGCCTCCCCTCACTGGTGTTTTGTGGGGAACAAGCGCAATGTATTATTAATAGAGATGCAGTATATTATTCTTTGTATGAGGACTGGAATCATCTGGATGTTTTCACCCTTCTTCAACATAACTTTTTCTGTTACTTTTTGGTGGTGGTGGGGAATGCGTTGGTGATGCTAATCTCTGTGGATTCAGTGCCATGTGTGATGCATGTGTCTATCATACTGCTCTCCCCTTGTCTTGTATTTTTGGTAATGTGAGTTTTGATATGTGTTTTACTTTGTCACTCTGCGTGTTCTCTCCCATTGTGCTGCTTGTGGTTATGTGCATTATTTGGATATCTGAAGATCGCAGTCGAAGTGCAAGCGCGCCTACCTTAGGTATAGTAGTCTTGCATGTCTGCCTGTATAAGTGCTACATAGTGATTGCTGCTAACAGCTGGTTTTGACCATGCACTCCTAAAGCAGAGCTAGAAACAATATCCATCACTAAAATAATTTTTTTTTCATGTAACATCTGCCCACTACTAAAAGTCTGCTGCACTGTTCCATGATAAACTTCTACTAATAAGATTTTGCAGGTAAAAGGTCACCTGTAAAGATTAACTTGCCTCTGAACACAAGTATACCCATTGACCCAAACAAGAAGTTAGGGAATGAAAGATAGTGGTTTAAGTTTACCTACATTTACAGAGGTAGCTATCCATTCTACTGACTGTTGTAGTAACTTCATGGTTTTTAAGGTCAATGTATCTGTCTTGTCATCCAATTTGGAGAGTCTGAAATGCAGTTTGAATCTTGAAAATACTGACCAGACTTTCCTTAAGCTAACCAGCACTGTGGGGAAAGATAGATAGTTTTTCTTTCTTGCTGAAATAATTAAGGAAGAAATGAATGTAACAAACTTAAGAGGGTTTTTGCAGAAAGAAAGGGAGACTGATCAGTTTAATCAGGTCATTAAATGCCCTTCTGGAAGGTGCTCAGATACTGTGCTGATGATTGGGGTAGAGCAACTGAAATGGAATGGAGCATTCTACCTTCATGTATGCACAAGTGACCTGACACCAGTTGGAGTAATTGAAAGCAGATGTGACTCTAGCAGATGGCAGCAGAAGTGGTCTCTCTTCCCTGTCCCAATCCCATTTGCATCCATAGTGTCGCTTTCATAAGACATCTATTCCAAAGTCTAGTGTGGTTTCTCCTCCCTGTCTTGACCCTATTGGTGTCCATAATGTCACTTCCATAAAGCTTCTGTTCCAAAGTGTAGTGTCAATGCTTGAAGAAGAACAAATGCAAGGAGCACTCATTCTAGAACCATACAATCCCTGCAAATTCATTCATCATTGTCTTGATAGTCACTATCAAGAATAGTGTTGAAATGTACAAGTTCTTTTCTCAGGCCATTTCTTTAAAAAGTGCTCACAAAGTAGCACTGTCCTCTTGTGACAGACTGTCCCATCTGGCTTTCAGTAAAGCTCGAAGTGCTCAGAAAACACGCACAAAAACAAAGGATATACCTTTGGCTGAGGCATCTAAACTTTGCCCAGCCAAGTGTCATGCTGGCTAGTTTTTAGGAATCATGGGACTGTCTGACATTAATTGGAGCCAGTGCAGCCACCTTCATCATTAGCTCTGAAGTGTAAGGGCACAGATACTTGCATAACATACTCCATTTTGACCCAAGTAACTTGAACATGCTGTATTGTGGTGGTGAGATTTATATCCCACCCTCTCCAGAGAGCCTCAGGGTGACTATCAATAAATTACAACCCACAAAGAAAAAAACCCAGTAGAGTCCCCAAATGGCACCCCAGAACTTGAAAACTCCATGCTTGCACTCCTACTTCCTTTGGAGAGGTCTATTTAAAAAAGAATATTTAAAAAAATGGGGCCTGTAGGTTTACACCTAAGTGAAAGGTAAGGAAAGTATCTACAAGCTGCACCTATTATAGGTCTCCATTTGGCTGCATTTTAGTCATGGCTGTTTCACCTAGACAAACTCATGCAGTAAGTTTATGCTTGTTACTTGCTCTTTTGTTGTAAGCTTCCTTTTATCAAATACGTGACGGTAAACAAACTCCTTCTGCTGATTTTCTTTGCTCTGGCACTTGCTAGTGCATCTCCGCTTAAGTAGAATGTTAGATTCTTCAGTTGTGTCTTTTTAAACTGTCTTTTCATTTTTATAATTGTGTCAACTACATTCTTGAGACAGCATCCTTTCTGTTTGCCCTGACTGGCTGTGAAGTCTTAAGAGGGATAGAGAATCTTTTTATTTTTAAAGACCTAACGTGATAATTATGGATGGAGTAGTATCCGTAAGCAGGAAAAGATACTGGATACATTCATCCTGTGACTTAAAAAAGAAACAGTGGTTTTTAGTCTGAACAAAGCCCAAAAGATTGTGGTGCATGCTTGTAAAAAGAGCAGAATGTTCCACCATATGCAGAAGAATAAATGCTGTCTTTTCCCATTAACATTCTTGAGATGGAAGGAGTTGGTGGTTAGAATTTACTCGATGGACATCTAATGAGATGCTGCATTTTGTGACAAAGGGATGTCGGTAAGAAAGATTTCTGTAGTGCTTAGGGCACCCTGGAGCTTACTCTGCCATGCTATTGACCTGCTGCAGAGCTCCCTGTGCCTCAGCTTAGCCAAGCAAAATGGCTATAGTAACAATTCTTGAACAGGTGCTTAAAGAACATGAAGTATACATTTTGTATATTGCCAGTTTGTAAGTACAAGGTGTAGACAGGAACATGGGCAACTGGTGCCTCCCGTGTCGGGGGGGCACCAGATTGCTGACCAGGGGGGCCCCCCAGCAGCAGATCACCAAGTGCGGAACCACCAGTGGCAAAACCAGAAGTACACTTCTGCCGACACTTCAGGTTTTGCAGCTGGCACTTCCAGGGGATGCATGGCCAATCTTAGGGGGTACACATGCACCCATGTGCACCCCCTACACATCACCAGTGGACAGGAACATGTTTTTAGGTGTTGTCTCTTTTGGACCGCCTCTACTTTTAAATTGATGGTTTACTTCAATTCTGGCGAGAGTTGGATTCAGCAGTGTGTTCATAGAGTGTAATGCAGGCAAAGTACTGCAAAGGTGAAGTGTTACTGGCGTTTGTTTTCTAATAGCTGAAACAGAGAAGGGATCTGCAGATCACTTGGATCTGGCTGGTTTGTCCCCTCAGCCAAAAGAAACCGATAGTGTGCAACTGTCTCCACCTTCACCTGACTCCAAAAAGAAGGCCAGAGGAATCAAGAAATTATTTGGAAAGTAAGTAAACTATGAGAGGTGATCATCCTTGATGGCTGCATCACTAGAGGGATTGTCAGGAGGACACAGACACCAGAAACCCAGCTCAAGCTGGATATGGGCAAAGTGTTTGCCATTTGAAAGCTGCTGAGTGAAATAAGCTGCTGGTCTCAGTGTAGCAACTAGTGAATAGCTGTCCTTCTTGTAGTCTCCCCAAGGCTTAGCATGTTTTTGGTGCTTTCTGGTTCTCACTCATCCTTTCTGCACCCTTCCCCTCCTACCCCCCCGGTCTAGTAGCTGTAGTGTAGTGTGACCAGTGTGTGGGCAAAACGGCGAAAAATGGTTTAGTTCGTGGTTTGTCAGTATATTCTGTGGTTGCGATAATAGAGGAATTGGTTTTGCTGTTATCATGTGTGATACAGTGTTAAATAGTGCTTTCCCTCCTTTGTTTAGACTCAGAAGAAGTCAGTCTACCACATTTAACCCAGAAGATATATCTGAGACAGAGTTCAAAAGAGGAGGGACAAGAGCGACAGCTGGACCAAGACTGGGCTGGTCTCGAGACCTTGGACAGTCTCGCAAGTAAGATGAACTATGCTGTGCTGAACCCAAATTTGCAGTGCCACCCTATTTTGGTTTGCCTTTATAGAAAGGCATGTATTTTACCACTGTGTTAAGACGACTCTCACCAGGCAAATCTTTTGTTATAACAGCAGTCATACTGGTAGTCAATAGGCACACCCAGATTCTAGGGATGTTGCCCTTTTGGAGAGCGGGGCCAGGAATTTAAGTGTGGCCTCAGCAGTGAAGTTCATGTGGGTATGCTGTGTGCCTGTACCTGAGGGGTAGCCTCAGTAGTGGAAGTTTGGTGTACATGCATTCAGGGAGAGAGACAAAGGGAACTGTTCATGAGTGTCAGCCCACATGCATTTCAAGCAATGCTTCATTCATTGTCATTAAACCAAAGCTTGATATGGTTCCCTTTCCTTATCTTCTAGTACACTGGAATGTCTGTGGGGATTGTGAAGCTACTACTATGATATACAGAATATTTTAGTAATATTTTAAAGATTAAGCCATCCTGAAGCATGAGGCTGCTCCTGCAGCATGGTTGTCATTGGGCCTACGGATTGGCCAATCTTAGGGTCCCATTTTGCTAGGTGTGGCGTCTAATAAATGTATGTAATACATAGTCCGTGGCCCAAAGGGCTTACAAGACCAAAAAAAAAAAAAAAAAAAAAGCACAGATGCAGACTCTCCCAGCTATGGTCGTAGCTCTTAAACCCCTTTGAATTTGCAATATTTTATTTTTCTAATAACATTTTGAAAGCAGTTGTCCCCTGCTTTAGTGACCTGGATATGCCATTTGCTAAATGGACAAAGGAGAAAGTTTGCAACTGGCTTCAGGACCAAGGTTTGGGTTCATACATAAATAATGGCAAACACTGGATACTCTCTGGGCAAACCCTCTTGCAAGCTTCTCAGCAAGATCTGGAAAAGGTAAGAAGTTAAAAGAAATATTTATATTGAAGCAAAAGTAAGCTTTGCATTTGTGTATCTAAATTAGGGCTATTCAGTGCAAAAATTAAAAGATGGAAATATAAAATAGATTTATAAAATAGATTTGTCCTTACTACTGATAAAAATCAGTTTTACACTCCTGATTTATTATTAATATTTGGTGGCAAGTTAAAAAATGTGCCCTTGAGGTTAATTAAATGTGTGGTCTAACAGCAGTAGTCTGTTGGCACATCAACCTATTTTCCATACCAGACATTTAAATCACTTTGTTAGAATAGAGATTATGGTCTTGGCTCTCCTGTTATAAATAACTGTGTAAGGTGGGTGTAAAAGGCAGTTATGATGATTTGGTAGCAGTTTGTCTTCACTCAGCTCAGGTGAGAATGACAGTGTAAGTGCAATGCCCTAGAATCAGATTCTCAGTGTGTATAATTATGAAGTTAACTGTGCCTCAGCTTTTAAACTCTGTAGTGGAGGGTGAGGACCTTGTTATTTGTTAGAGTTTATTTCGATCCAAAATGAAGCCGTGTTGAATAGTTAGTAATTTTAGTTGTCAACAAACAAGAAAAGCAAGCCTGGTGTCGGCATCCTCAGGAGATATAAAATGTTGAATTAGCCCACTAGTTATACCAAACTGACATTGGAAAGCATTGGTGTGGACCTTAAGGTGTCAGTGAAGCATTCTGTTTCAGGTGTCAGTGAAAGTCCTATATTTGCAAAGGTCCTGTGACAGCTGCACTTGCAGTAGAACTGGGAATGGGAAGCAGTTGTTTTTTTTAATGATTTAATACATTTGATAAATAACACCTATAGAACACTTTGTTTTTCAGAGCACATTATGGCTATTAACTAGTTAATTCTCACAGTTTTCTTTGCCTAACTGCAAGGTATGCAATTAAATGCATTGAACCTTAAAATATTATGTTGACTACTATAATTTAGTATGATTTAGCATGCTTTCCTTATACCGTGTAAGATTACTGGAACTAAATTAAAGTATCATAATGCACTAAACCCTAAATAAGTGGCCCGGTTTTCAGAAGGGTTGGGCACTGGCTTTCTGTTGACATCCAAAGGCATAATGGGTACTCTGCAAACATTAGACTATGCTCTTTTAGGTACTTCATTATGGATTTAGGTTTCTAACTGTAGATACAGATTTAAGACCAAATTCTGTCCTCTGATACATGTGCTCATTACTTATCCAAGGACAAGCTTTTGTCTTGTATTGTTAGGATTGAAGTACTGATTTTTTTATTTATTTTTTTATTTATGTATTTATTTATTTTTGAAATGGTAAAATGTTTTCCAGCTATTCTTACTGTTTTGATTCTCAGCAAATCGTTGTGCAATTAAACTGGAAATTAAGGGGTTGATGATTCTTTATCTTTGCAGGAACTTGGGATAAAGCATCCACTCCATCGAAAAAAACTTCAGCTTGCTCTTCAGGCACTCGGGTCTGAAGAAGAAAACAATCATGGAAAACTGGATTATCACTGGGTCACCAGTAAGATTTTATTCCATCCTAAAATATTAGTATCCCAAGACAATGGCTGGGGGCTTAGAACAGAAGGGGACTTGGGAGTTTTGTGAACACCTGAGAGTAAAAAATAACATGGAGAGTATTGATTAACTACATAAGTGCCCTTAGTCCAGAGATGGTTTGACATAGTAATATGTTTGTTTTGTAGGGTGGTTGGATGATATTGGACTTCCCCAGTATAAGACTCAGTTTGATGAAGGGAAGGTGGATGGTCGAATGCTGCATTACATGAGTGTAGTAAGTAAATAGCATTTTTTTCTGGCATCTATTTTTTTTTAAATGCACAAATGACAGTTCAGAGCGGCTCATCAGAGACTAAACAATTATGTGGTAACTATTTGAGCTTAAATTGTATCCCTGTGCAGGGATGTCTATGCCTGCCCGAAGTCATGCTTGGAAGGTTTCAGGTCAGATGTAAATACCTTGTGGTGGTTCTGTATATGAATGACTTTCACAGCATGTGACCAGAATTGTAATATGGAGGATAACCATTATGAAAAACTGGGAGGATGAATTCCATTTGCTTTTACAAAACTGAGAATGATAAAAATAACATTGTGCATGAAATCCTGTTTAACAGAAAGCTTTCTGTTTGTCTTCTGTAAGTTCAAGTTGGTTGAATTTTCTATAACCCATTCCACATATCTGATAAATAACAGCAGGGTAGAGCTTAATAGAGGTCAAGCTGTCATGGTATAAAATCAGATACTCCTGTATTTGTCTGTATCCTCTGATAGTGATGTGTGTTGCTCCTCTTCAGTGGAATATGTGCAGTATTATGCTGACCATAGCAGCTGTGCTAGATAAATGCTAATAGTACTTCACGTGTGTGTGTGTTAAGGATGCCATACGTCCAGGTTTTCCTGGGCATGACCTCTTTTTGGGTCCTCCCATCTCTGTCTGGGTGTTTTTTAAAATATGAACAAATGTGCGGGATTTTGCTCTGCTCAGTAATGAAGTTTTTCCCAGCACCTGTGTGTGGCAGGGATGTGTGGAGAGCATGGGTGTGAGAGTTGGTTGGGGAGGAGGGGGGCTGGGCACAGGGGTTGCAGCAACACAGGGGAGGCACCTGCCCTTCCAGTGGGGGAAGGGGGTGATGGCCCTTCAGGGGCAGTAGGGAGCTGTGTGGCTGGGCCTGTGGCACTGGGGCTGGTGCCTGTGCTCACAGGGGTGGGGCAGCTGGGAGATGCAGGGATTGCCCACCCCTCCCCCACCCTCATCCCCTGCCTGGCAGGATCTGGTGATTGTGGGGCTTTTTTTTTTGTGCTGGGACTCTGGGGCCGCATGGGGCAGCCATTGATGGGACTAGGAGAGTGGGTGGGGGATGGGGCCTGTTCAATTCAGCCGAATTGATTCAGGATAGTGATTCAAATCACCGTCCCCCAAATTGGCTGAATCCAAATCAGAAGCGAATACTAGCCACTTTGGACAGGCCTACTAGGCAACTAACTCACATAGGCATGTTTATATGCTCCACTTGGCAATGAATAGGTGTGTATCTGTCTTTGCCATGGGTGCGTTTTTCTTCACAGTGAATTAGCTGTCTGATGCCTTAGTAGTATTTGGAAGAATATACTAAATGCTTGGGGTTTTTATATTTATGTCCCTTTTTTTTTTTTGTATTTGGGCTATCATAGATTATTTGCTCCTGCTATTTAAACTGGTCTTAAAGGAATAGGGCTAACAGGGTCCCAGGGAAAGCTATGTTAAATTCTGGAGGAGCTTAATAATGGTGTAAATTGCATGAGGGGCCAAAGCTAATCAGTAGATATAGGTTGCAGAATGGTATAATTTGCATTGTTTGGCAGTCAGTGGAGGTTTGGGAAAAATCTTAATTCACAGACCAGGTAAAGAAAGCAGAGCTCTATAACAGAAACCATCCCTTTCTAATAATCGCTTTTCTAGATACATCTTTTGCTATAACAAGGATGATCAGGAGTATGGAGCAGCTGCCATGTTAGAGGAGATTGAAAAGATGGAGTATTCAGTACGGAAAGGAGAAGGTTGAGGGGGAACAATAGAGCTGTATAAGATAATGAAGAGTGTGATTAAGGAACTGTCATTCACTGACTCCCAAAATATATGAACTAGGAGGTGACTTTTGAAAGTATCAGGACATAGGTTTACAACAAACAGGAGGAAGTACTTTTATGCAGCATGTAGTTAACTTGTGGAAGCTTACTGGATCCTCTAGCATGGTGAGGACTGTCTTAAAAACCATGATAAAACTAAAATTAAAGGGGAACATAGTATGTGCCATACTGGGTCAAACCAATGATTCATCTAGCCCAATATGTTGTCTCCAGCAGTGGAAAGTAGTAACTGCTTTAGAGCGACAGCATATGATGGGGCATATCTAGAACAATTCATTCTCTGTCGTGCTCTCCCTGGCATCAACCATTGGTTTACATGGAATATAAGAGAATACATTCCTGACTATCCAATTTAATAGCTTCCAATGGACATGCCCTAAATTAAATTTTTCTAATCTTTTTAACCAAATAAATTTTGAACAGATAAGTTAAGTTTTGTGATTTTCCCCCCCCCCCCAAGTTCATTTGAACTTCAGATTCACAATCAAACATTTCTGGAATGTTCTTGTTTTTAAACCCTACCCCCCCAACCCATTATTTGAAATCAAACAGCAGGCTTAGGCTTCTATGAAAAAACTAAGCTTTCTATAGAGATTTCTGTGATCCATTAATATACAGGTGGCTAGTGGCTAGAACATTTTCTGTATAACAAAAATATACATAGGTGTTGGGAAATAAATGAACTCAGTTTGACTACTGGCATAAGTATGTGCAACTCCACCCAAATCAGTGAAGTTGCACATATTTCTACCAGCAGTTAATTTAGCTTTAGGATCTAAACTGAACACACACATTTCATAGCCCAGTTATGGGTTGAATATGCAACCCTATGCTAGATGGCTTCTGATTTTGACTGCTTAATTTTTTAATAATGCACAAGCATTATGATTCTAATAAAAAATACCCATTATAGGCATGGTTTTCTGTTTGGAAATTCAGTAGCTGTGTGAGAGTTTTATAAAGCCTGGCTAAGCATAATGCATACAACTCTAGAGTTTAATAAGCATCCCATTTGTAGGGTGTGAGTGAAAGAGCATAATTATTATTCTGTTCTTGATGTGTGAAAATTCTGAGGGTAGATGTTGAAATGAATGCAGATATAGAAAAGGCAAGTGCGATTTTTCACACTCTGCAGATTACAAACTTGTAAGTAGATCAGGGTCTGACACTGCGTAAGAGTGAAAAACGCTCACCCCTGAAAAATGGATTTAGAATTCTGTACCTCATGTTCCATCATCTGGTGTTTGTGCTTGGACAAGTGAAATGTTTTAATTCCTTTCCTCTGGAAGTTGCAGAGAAAAGCCTTGTCTGTTCCCTCATAATTGTAAGCAGGTTTAAACAATTTTAAACTCAAAATACTCCAGGGAAAACTTTCATGGAGTCCAAGCAAAATCATAGACAAAGCTACCTTCTGCAGTCCCAAAGTGACTTGAATTGGTTACTGAAGTTCAAATCCACATCAGAACTATAGAGGAAGTACACTTTAGAGCAGGGGCAGGCAATTATTTTGGGTGGAGGGTCACTTACTGAGTTTTGGCATGCTGTTGAGGGCCACATGGGTGGCCCCTGGTCACTATCTTGTGACTGGAAGTCCCGCCTCCTAACCCTTGACCTTTGCCACCAGAAGTCCTTCCCTTGCACCCGGAAGTATTCCTTTTAGCTAGGGGATTTGTCATCTTGGAACCAGAAAAATACTAAATTATATTCTAAAAAGCGATCATCTACAAGATTCATTAATTTGATTTCAAAAAATATTTTTTGTCCTGGTTTACACGTGTTTGTATGTTGTACATAGAGGTGATTGCACAGCAGCTTAAAATGAAGTTTTACTCTTGTATATTGTGGGGGAAGCTTGAGGGGGTGGGTATTGGTTTGTAAGGAGCTGTGAGTGTGTAAGTATGTGGGGTATGGATGTGTCTGTGGGGGGTGGATAGGTGTGGGGGTGTGGGGTGAGGGAGCATGTGGGTGTGTATGTCGATATGTGGGGTGTGGATAGGTATGGGGCTTGTGGGTGTGTATGGGGGGAGGGTGGCTGGGGTGTATGAGTGGGTGTGAATGTGGGGGTCTGCATGTATGGCAGTGTGAGGGAGGGTGTGGGTACATGTGTCTGGTGGGATGTGCATGTGGGGCTCACCCCATGAACACACGCACTCACACTGTCTCTCCCTCCCTGCGTGCTTTCGCTCGCTCGCTCTCTCTCGCTCTGTCCCTCCCTGTGTGTGTGTGTGTGTGTGTGTGTGTGTGTGTGTGTGTGTGTGTGTGTGTGTGCATATGCACACTCTCCCACTCCTAGCCCTGGGGCACTGGCACAGACCCTGTGCTTCTGATGTCCAGTGATGCAGCTGGGAGCCACGTGGTGCTGCAGTAGTGTGGGGGCAGGAAAGCAGGGAAATGGCTGGGGGTGGGGCAAGGCTCGGCTGCTGGGTCCTGTTGCCAGCTCCCCCTGGGTCCTACTGCCCCTGGCTTCTGTCATCTTTGACAGGCAGCCAGGAGCAGATAAATATTAATTTTCTAATTTTTTTTAGGGCCCCGTGGGCTGGATAGAATGGCCTGGTGGGCCAGAAGTGGCCCGCGGGCCATATTTTGCCCACTCTTGCTTCAGAGCAATGATTCTCAACCAGGGTGTTGATGGCACTCTGCAGTAACTTGAGATCTCTTTTAAGGGTCCTGTGGGGTACCACACAATGGTATTACTGTTAGGTGTGCAAGCATGAGTCACAAGATAAACCCAGAGGTTTCAACTACAAATCCATAATGTTAAAAACATTCTGACTGGTTGTGATTTTTCGGAGTTCTTTGCAATAAAAGAATTGTTCTGTTGTTTTCTAAAGTCAGAAATAGAGTGAAAAGTAAGAGCTGACATTTTCCTAAGGCTGCCTTGACTCTGAGGGGTACCTTGAGCCTATCAAAGGGTGCCCTAAATCTAAAAAGTTGAGAACTGCTGCTTTAAAGAAAGTGCAAGGTCCTTTGATATCACCAGTTCTCCTTGTGCAGGGAGCATTGCTCTTTCATTTTACTTGAAAGGAATTCAGCTGTCATTTTTAATCACCTTTCTGATGTGTTGCTCACATCTAAAGCATTTTCTGAAGTGTGAATTCAGACTTGCAGAATTTAGTTCTCTTTTTAGCCATCAAACAGCTGTTACATGGTGGGGAGATCATTGTTCAGAGGTGAGAGAACAGCTCAGCCTTCATCTGGTTCACTAGTTTGCTTATCTAAGGGACTGACAGCAGCCTACCCTTTTTAGGCTACTAAAAGAAATTAAACTGAGTTAAGTTAAACTGAACTAAGACCACTAAATGACTTCACATACACTTTCAACAACCTATTCAAATAGCTGTTTCTTTTCCTCATTGAGCTAGAGGTGAGTGCCCATTGCCACTCTTCTGAACCATCCTGTTTCTCACTAAAAGTATTTGGAACATATTTCTCAGGTGGTTTGAGGCATGAGGGATTTTTAGTGATCAAAGTTCATCTTTCTTCTCATGGAGAACTCATTTTTCACCAAAGCAGTGTGGGTGGATTTTTTTTTTTTTTTACATGAACAAGCTTGATTGGATTGGATCAAAATTCAGTATGATCTTGATATTATTCTATGCTCAGAAATCTAGATATTCTCAGGTTGGATTGATGATAGCAAGGTGTCACACCCGCTCTTTTCTGATGTTTCCCAGAATCCTTTGAGCTGACATCACTATTTTGAAGGAAGTTGCAAAGCAGCTGGCACAAACCATCCTGGGAATTTTTTGGGGGGAGAAATATAGAACTCTCATTATCAGGTGAAATTTTTATATTTAAAAATGAATACAGAGAGGAGCTATCCCTGCATTTCTTTGATGTAGCACCTTAGGCAGACACTGAAAACCACCTTCTCAGAAGGAGTTTTAGTATAAATATCAGTAATTAATGCTGTGTATGGGGATTAATTTTTTAAAACTCTTTTCACTGTTCACAGGATGATTTGCTGTCCTTGAAAGTTGTTAGTGTTCTCCATCACCTTAGCATCAAAAGAGCCATTCAGGTCCTGAGGATAAACAACTTTGAACCCAACTGTCTGCGCAGAAGGCCGTCGGATGAGGTACCTCTTTTAAGGGAAAGCTAAATCATGAAGAGCAATCCTCTGATTTTTTTTTTCAGACAAGTTATTCTGACTCTACCACCCCACCAGTCTTAACCACAGCTATCTATCTATGCCTTTTCTTATCTACACCATTTTCTTTTCAATTTCATGTTCTGCCTTCCACATCTAGAATACTGGCTTCTTTTCTCCTCCTTCCACAAGTTATAGAATCACTTTCTATTGCCAGATCTCCCATTTCTCTTTCTAGTTTACAACTGACTGTTTCTAGAACATAGTATCTGATGCACTGTTTTAAGAAAAGTAGTGCCACCTGTGATCTAATTGCCTTGAGCTTTGGTGTACACTTCTTTACTTAACCTCTGGCCTGTGAGCTAGTTCCACAAGGCCATGTTGTCTGGCCTGTGGGTCTTCTCACAGGTCCAAAAATTTGGCAGCGTGGAAGTGGTAGCAGTGCTAGTTGTCTCTCCCCTGCTGCAAAATTTCTGGTTCTGACTCTCAAACCAAAGCCAAATGTGGCATCTGGCCTGCAGACGTGCTCTGCACCATTCATCTAACCTGTGGACCCAAAAGGTGGAGCATCACTGCCCTAGAGTAAGTGTCAGCAGCCTATGGATCCTTGGACGTGGGCTGTGGGTGCTCTCTCTGTCCTGCTGTGGTGAGAAGCATTGGCTGCAGCTGCTCTTGAGCACCTGTCTCTGACCTGAGGTGGGTCATTTTGGCCCACAGTTAGAAAAAAAATTGCTTACTGCTACCCTAGGACTTTATGAAATTTTAATATATAATTTTCTTGGGTTCAACACTATAATCAGATATTATCTTGGGCTACTGCTATAGGATTGTTTGCTTTAGAGGTAGCTTGCTCTCAAAATAGAATTAGGACCCTATTGTAAGGCCATTGGAGCTCAAGGTTCATATTCATCATGTCTTTGCAGTAGATACATATAGCAGCAATAGATACATATAGCAGCTCTCCTGAGATACCAGATTCATCATGCTGTGGTGAATCACAACTAATTCCACTGGAAGTGATAGCAGTATATACCTATGTAAGAGATTGTGCTCAGAAACATAGTGCCGTGTTACTTTACAGCACTTGAGGTGTGTTAAATGGAGCGGAGAGTGTGTTATCCTCTAGCTAGTCAGCTCTGTGTGCATTGAGCAGCTCAGTGCTGTTCTAGAATTCATGCAGCAGTATAAGCATTCCAAACTTTTATCTGATGTCCTGATCTAAATTGGTTGATTTCACACTGCCTTGCAGGATTCACTGCCTTGTAGGAAGCTTCTGGTTAATTTCCCATCACACTAACACGATAATCAGCTGGCTTTTATGATCTGTGTATTTCAGTAGTGATGCTAGAATGTGTAAATAATGCTAAGATGTTGATGATTAGTCAGAAGGAGTCAGCAGCTAAGGAGGGTGGAGAAAGAGCATTTAAACATATCAGGAATCTTGCTGGCTACTGCCTAATACTGCATCTCGATGAAGATATAGACTCAGAGTTTTCACAGAGTTTGAGGAGGCAGTTGAAGTTTGATCTAGGCACATTTGAATGTGCCTTTGAGGACAGAAGGTTTGCTAAAGCAGAGGACAGGGGTGGGGAAGGGTTTGAATTAAAGACAGGATAAAAAAGTCTTCGTAAGTGCAATCTCTTCCTGTCCACAGAATAACATCACGCCATCTGAAGTAACTCAATGGACAAATCATCGTGTGATGGAGTGGTTACGTTCAGTTGACCTCGCAGAATATGCCCCTAATCTGAGAGGGAGCGGTGTGCATGGTGGACTGATGGTAATAATTTTAGTGTTTCATTTTGTAAATTAAAAAAAAAAAAAATCTGAACTCTAAGGCCCCAGTATACTTTACATTTATTGTGCCTGTAACCAGTTATGGGCACAATAAATTTAGACATGCTACACATACAAAATAATTACTGCAAAATAAAAATGGCCAGGCAGCAACAAAAATGGCCAGCCAGCTATCAAGATGTTGCTTGAAAAATGTAGTACTTTTTAAAGCTGATTTCTACTAAGCTTTAATTTGAATACGTGGCATGTCACACATCATGTGATAGGTCTTAACTGGGTCCTCCGGCATCTCAAGGTACTCTGCTCTATCCCCCACCTCATTGTGAGCCACCTCTCTGCTGATGATTAACTCATTGTCAGTGTCAGCATGAGGAGGGAGGTCAACATTAGGACTGTGACAGCCTCACAGTCCTGATACCAAAACGGGGGGTAGGAAGAGCAGATTGCAAGATTCCCTGGTGAGGGAAGCCGAGGAGTTCTTCAAGCTAGAAACCTGGAAATGTCTGAGCTGAACAGCTTTTCCTGCCTTGCCTCAGAGCCCTCCAAGAGATGTGGTGTAAGGCATTTTAAAATGTAGGGGTTCCAGGGAGCCAGGCTGAACAAGTGCTTTTTAGATGCCCTGGGGACAGGGATGCCAAGATGAGGGACCAGGACCTCGATCCTCGAGCCCTGGGACTTTTAAAACCTGGACATGCAGCTGGGCAGTTCTGGGCCTCTTAGCTGATTGTTAGACCAAGCTCCAAAGAGTCTGGAGTCTCAAACCTACCCTGCATCCTGGTCAGGGTGGACCGTTTTAAACCAAGGTGATTTAAATCATGATTCAAATCACCAAGAGAGAACCCTGATTTAAATAATTGATTTAAAGCTTCCCACTATTTCTTCACATATTTCTTAAACAGTAGTGCAAATGTGATCACTAAAACATGTTAATTTACAACTCAATACAGTATTTTACAACATCTGTCCTTAAACTCTTTTTTTTTTAATTTTCAAATATTAATATTTTCTAATATTGTCTAACAGACGAGTCATCACAACACTAAACTTCCGCTGTCCTTAAAACTTCTACAACTAGATCTCATCTTTCCCATGCCCATTGTCATTTTTATTCATAGACTGAAACAGAAATATGAGTTTTCCTGCTTTTTCAACTCCCAGTTTCTTAGCTTTGAGTGAATAATACCAAACGATGAAAATATTCTCTCTGTGCCTGCAGAAGAAGCTATTGCTGTGAAAAGTTGACTTGGCAACAAGGAATTCTGTTTCAAGGTGCCTGGCTAATGATTTCTACCAATTCAGGAGAGTGACTTTGTTCAAAACAACATGTACTGTTTAAATAGTTCCCCTCCAGCCCTGAAATTTATTATGACTGGCATAACTGAGGAGTGATTTTGAGATGCTCATGCCATGGCAGCAGCATCTTTTTCAGAAGTTAGGCATCTACCTTTATATCTGGGGTTGAGAATGTTCACAAGAAAATGTGGTGAAGTTAGTGCTTGATCTATTCACTTCTTTATTGCCTGCAGTTTAACTTTCTGGTTAGGTATTTCTTTCTGGTTAGGTATTTCTTCCTTCAAGAGATATTGAAGTGCCTTCCAAATTTCGACAGCATCAGCAATGCAGCAACAGTCTCTCTGAAGTTGTGGATATAGGCTTCAGTATATTGAGCATATCCTCTACATTCCTCTTTAATCCAATGTTAGATACTTTGGATGAGATGCTTCCACCTATTTTATCACTGTTTTCTTCACAAATTTTATGAGAATAGGCCAGTTCTTAATAAATTGTTCAAAGCAATCAACCACAGAATTCCATAGAACATCTTGAGGCAGAATTAGTTTGGATCCTCCTGCTCTCTTCAGTGAAGCAAAATGGTTGTTATGGAAGTATTTTGCAACATCAACAACATTTTCTTTTATTCCTGGAGAAGTACTTAAGTCTTTGGCTAAAAGATGCATTAAATGGGCACTGCAGCCATATGTTGTTAAGGAGCATCCTTCCATTTCTTCTTCTAAGTATCTTCTCATCTTTGCCACATTTGCAGCATTGTGGCAAAACTGTGCACGTGACATGAATTTTTGTTCACAGTTTATTACAGCTTTCACTGCCACTTTTAAAAAATATTCTGCTGTGTGGGCAATTCCTGATGTATCTGTTGTTTCTGAAAGCTACGCAGCCCCATCTTCTGTTGTCACACAGGCACATATTACTGGATCATTGTGTACATTGCTCCACCCATCAAGGCAAATTTTCCCCTCAGTATTTCTTGCCCACACTTCAAGTTCCTTCTCATATGCTGTATCTAGCAACCTTCCACTAATGTCTGCTCTACCAGGTGGAGTGTAGCCTGGTTGTAGGGACTCAACCATGTTAATGAAGTGTTTATTGTTAACAATGTGAAAAGGAGAATTTGTGGCATAAATGAACCAAGCAATCTTTCATCTACGGTGTCTTGGTATTTGCTGGTCCTTACTACAAACCCACCCATGGTGGTGGTTTTACTGGATGATTGAAATCTTTTGCCTGCTACTTGACACTGTTGTCTGAAATGCATTTAGTTTAGTTGCAGCATTGCTGCTAAAAGTTCCAACGGATGACTCTGAAGTTGTTGCAGATAGACAGTCAAAGTCTCTTATGCTTAAATGGGATCCTGAAACAAAAATGATTTTTGAGTAGTTATTCTTTTCAGTTCTTCTGACTCTATTATTCAGTTAATCATTTACATTTTTTTAGCAAGGATGCAGATCCGATTCCAAATGACCAAAAAAGCTAAGACTGACAGCACTTAGAGTGCACTTAATTTTGGAGTAAGCCCCATTGAACTCACTGACACTTCCGTTTTTTGAGACAACAAGTATAGGATGTGGTTCCTTTGGGAAAGCTTGAGTTATGCTGAAATAAAATAGGGAATAGGCTTATGGCATCACCATTATGGTCTGGGGCCATGATGTTCCAAAATAAGGGTCATGTATTATGTAATATAAAATAAGAAACTGACACCCAGTGGCAACTAGCAAACTCTAGATTTTTCTTACTGCAGCTTTCTGTATGTGTAAACTTGGGCAATAGATTCTAAATCTAGTTAACTAATTAAACAAGTCATAAGGATTAGCTAAGCTAACTTTTTTTTCTAGCAACATCCAACATAGCAAACAGCTTGGGAATTTGTGTGTTAAATCACACTTACACTAAAAGGCACAGAGAGAGCCTTGAAGAATGATGCAGTGCAAAGTGAATTATTTAATTTACTAACCAGTTGATCCATGTTGTTTTTCAGACCTATCCACTTCATTTTCTCCAAATAAGCAGTTTTCATTATGATGTTTCATTCTTGCAACTAGGCCCTGCATTTCCTTCTTGCACTGCTTACACTTGACACGTTTTCCTTTTTTACCCAGGGAAGGAATTTTTCAAAATATTCCTAGATAGATAGGGTCTCTTATGCCCAGAAGCCATGACAGTTTTTCTGTGGCAAAAGTGTGGGGGAATATAGGAAGCTATGTGTGTACTACTGAATAATGTCTTCCCTTTTTCTTTCCAGTCCATTCCACTGTTCCTTTCTTCTCTGCCTCCATCCTTTCCTATATTGTGTCTCTGTCTTTAAGACATTGTCTTAACTAACTCCTCTACCTTGCTTGGCCCAGCTCCACTACCACATAACCACAGAACAACAGCAATCCTATCCAGTCTGTCTTCGCACATGTGACTTTAGTCTGCTGAAAAACAAACTGAAAGCCCAGAAATTTCAAGAAGCAAGAGCTGGTAGTTAAGCTGGACAGACTAGAGCCTTTTTCAAGAGATGACAAACTGAAATGAATGCCCATGTTTGATTGGTAGGTAACTTAATGTGTGCGAGTGTGACAGAGCCATTAATTCATTTTTATGAGACTAAGTATAGGTTTAGCATGTTGGTGATAAGATGTAATTGTAACTTGTATTTTTGAAACAAGAGAAATTTAGTATTTTATTGATGATTTAAAAAAAATGGATTTTTTTATATTAAAAAAAAAAAAAAATAATTGATTTTTATCCACCCTGACCCAGGCCAGTCCAGGATCTCAGATCTGCTCTAGGATCCATCCAGGGCTGGATCTGACAATCAGCTGACTTATTTTTGCACCTGGCTCCAGAAAACCCAGGGTCTCAAACTTGCTAGAGGCTGGGGGCAGCCCTGGGTCCAAGGCAGAGCTGCCCCCTACCCAATCCGTAGGATCAGGCTGGGGGCAGCTCCATCTGGCATGGAAGAAGGCATGATGTTTGGGATGGGGCATAAAATTCCTCTGATCCTAATTAAGCTGTTGTTTTAACATCTCTCAGAAGCCAAGATTCACCATTTTTGCCAGCATGTCCAATAGGCTGTGATGAAGAGCTGGCTTGTTATTATTAGGAATCTTTGTAAATACTAATATCTTGGCCAAAAATACTTTAACTACATATCTGAATACTTGTAGTCTCCCTCTGCATTTTTGTGCAGATAAGACATTCTCAACTTCTTGCCCTGAACTCTTGCAACTATTATTATGTGCTATTAGACAGCTGTAGGGGTGTAGGTTGTAGCCGTGTTGGTCTAAAGACATAGGCAGACAAGGTTCCTTGGGTGAATCTGATATCTTTTATTAGACCAACCCAAATAGTTGGCTGGATGGAATGACAAGTAAAGAAGCCAGGGGCTGGGTTGGGGAGTCAGATGTCAGGCAGATTATAATGTGTCAAAAATCCAGTGTCTATATTTAGTCCATGATTTTTAGTATCCAGGAGGTTGATGAAATGGAGTTCATAGGCTCATCTCTGGGAAGTGTTTTGTAAGCTTCCTTTGAGGATCAGGACTGAGAGATTGGAGAGAGAGTGGTTTTCTTGTGAGAAATGTGCCCTCACCGGTAATTGGGTATTTTTGTCTTTGATAGATTTCCGGTGTGCGTTCATTCTGGTGCGCAGTTGTTGTTTGTGTCTCCTACATATTTTCCATCAGGGCATTTGGTGCATTGGATGAGGTATATTACATTTCTGGAGGTGCAGCTGTAAGATCCTGGGATGCTGATGGCTCTGTTGTGGGGTGTAGTAATTGTGGGGGTGGTGGAGATGTGTTGGCAGGTTTTGCATTTCTTGTCATGGCACGGTCTGGAGCCTTTTGGTGTGTTCTGGGCTTGAGGAAGTTTGCTTCTGGTGATGAGGTTAGCGAGGTTCGGTGCTTGTTTGAAGGCTAGGATGGGTGATTCTGGGAAGATCTTTTTAAAAATAGGGTCTCTTTCTAGTATGGGTTGCAGTTGTTTGAGGATTTTTCGTACAGGTTCAAGGGAGGAGTTGGTCTAATAAAAGATATCAGATTCACCCAAGGAACCTTGTCTGCCTATTAGACAGCTGCTAAATTCCTCCGTACACCTTGTGGTAGGAGTGAGTGGTAGGAAAATGCCTGCTTCCTTTTGTGTAATTTGTAAATCCATTTGTGTTCCATTTGGGTGTCAGGCAGTCATAAGTAGAAGGCATCTTTATATTTTGATATTGTGATACTAATCCCTGCCAGCCCAAGTTCCAAGGGGAATTTAGAATCATAGGGTGGAAAGGCACCATGAGGGATTATCTGGTCCAGTCCCTGCATGAATGTCTGTCCAGTGCTTATCCAGCCCCCTGTTGAACGCCTTCAGTGAAGGAGATCCAAAACGTCACTGAGCAGTCTAGTCTACTCCCTCACTATTCTAACAGTAAGGAACATTTTCCTGGTATTTAAGACCACTTTGCTTCAGTTTGAAACCGTTGCTTTGTGCCTTGTTCTCTGTGAGAAGAGAGAGAACATTTGTTCTCCCTCTTCCTTATGGCACCCCATCAGATATTTGAAAGCTGCAGTCATATCCCCCGCACCATAGTCTCTTTTCTCTAAGCTAAACATATACCTAGTTCTCTAAAGTGCCTTCAAACCCCTTTATCATTCTTGTTGCCTGCCTCTTGTAAGTAACTTCACCGGTAGATTGGCTTCGTAAAATCTGAATGCAGAATGGAGAAATTGGTGGGTTGTGTGAGGAAAATACCTTATGTTTGTTGAATACCAGTCAGTTTTCCAATAATCTCATTAAACAAGTTTTCCAATATTCAAACCAAAATAAAAATTACATGCTAGATTATTGGGTCAGTTGTAAGAAGTTCTTTTAAGTTTTATATTACTGTTCTTCCTGCCAGAGGACTATTTTTAAAAGAGGTTAGTAAATAAATCTTTCATGACAAATGAATGCATGTTTCTAATGTGATGATAAGTTACTCTCCTCTTCTCTTGATTGCTGGTCTGTCTCCCTTTGGATAGAACACTGTAAAAAGAAAGGAATTTTCTAAACCAAATAAATAGTGAACACTTTTTCCTTCCTGTTTTTCTCCAAATCAAAAAAGCCTGGCATGATGACCAGGGTCTTCAAAAACTAGTCAAAGGTAATTGATTTCATTTTGATTCTCTATGGTTTAATAGGTCTTGGAGCCCCGTTTCAATGTTGAAACAATGGCTCAGTTGTTAAACATCCCACCAAACAAGACATTGCTGAGACGTCATTTGGCAACCCACTTCAATCTACTTATTGGCCAGGAGGCCCAACTGCAAAAGTGTGAAACCATGGAATCTCCAGACTATGTCCTTTTAACTGCTACTGCCAAAGTGAAGGTAGGCCAGTGGTTGTACATTCCTGTGTATACTTGTTGGATTGAACAATGTTTGACTGCTGTTCAGTAAGGTTTTTTGGAGGAAAAAGAGAGCAAAGAGATCTATGGAAAGAGGCTGAGAGCATGGCGCACAAACAAGCTACTTGAGCAGTCAGGGTTTTAATGCATTTCAGTTGCTCTGCGGTAGTTGCCTCTATGCCTACCCTTATCCAGTGAGCAAAAACTAGCCCGTTGCAGCACCCCTCCCTCTTCACTGAGGTAAGACTATGCGTGTGCAGCTGGCATACTGCAAAACCCTGCTCCCTTTCTACTTCATAGTAACTTGTTTGTGTGTCCTTACCCCTCATTGATGAGCAAGAGATTCAAGCCCTTGTTCAGATCCAAGAGTAGCAAGGACCCTAGACTGACTCAGGAAATTTGAGTTCAAATCTTGGCTCTACTACAGACTATCTATGAGACTGTTATCCGCAACGGACAGTGTGAGTTCGTGCCCAGCGTGCTATTGCCAATGAACACACAGGGGTGGAGGATCCAACTTTAATCTTTATTGTTTCCAGTCTGCGCAGAGAGGGGTGCTTGGCAATCGTTTGCAAAGCAAGCACCACCGGTTTCTACCTTTGGGTACCTTTTATACATATGTTTGCAAGTGTATCGCTCAGTGATTGGTTACAAGCCACTGACATAAGACGTTCTCTACTGAGCATGTCTCTATACCTATGTTTTAGCCATGTATTTCATTTACATACATATATGTTTCATTAACATACTTTTGCCCTGCCCAGGGGTGTGATTTTTAGCATTATAATGAGACCTTTTTCTGAACTTCTTGCTATCTTACAAGTGTCAGGGAGACATCCTGCTGGTGTTAGGGAGGCATTCCAGGAATCCTCCGCATCCCACACGCTGTGCTCTGCAAGCATCTCTTAACACACACATGCCACACCCCTCCCAGCATCAGTAAGTTGCCTTAAGTATTCAGTTAGATATAGTTTGCAAAAGCTAGATATACCATAAAAAAGATTACATCAAGACCTTGGTTAAATCATTTAATATCACAGCCCTGATATGGTTTATCTTGTCCAGGTATGTGTATGCAGTTAATATTTCTCCCACCTTTTGTCCTGTACATTTGTATTACAAGACAATTGAGAGAGAAGCTGTGTATGTTTGGTGTTTAACACAGGGTGCATCTACACCTGCTTTTTACTGCGGAGTAGGTTAATTAACTTCACAGTAAAGCGTCACCATCTACATGTGCAGTAAAAAAGTATTAGGGTTCAGTAAACAAATTAACTCCACTGTAAGATAGTACTGTCAGAGACGGTACAATCTTGTGGTAGATTGACTTGCTGTGCTAAAACACACGTGTAGATTCTGACTGTGGATGTGCATTGTGCCTAGTCAGCCCAGCCAGCTGAGGGCCTGCTCTGCACTGGTTCGAATTGCTGCTCTCCCATGTGCACATGTAGATGCTACACCCGGGAGCAGTTTACTCTGGCTCGAACTGCTCTGGAGTTTATTGCATTGCATTAATTGCATGTGTAGATGCACCCACAGTGAGGCTATTGCTATACAAATAAACCAGCAACGGGAAGGGCATTGATTTTTGTCAGGCTGCGGTTGTAGTTAGCTGAGAAATATTCCATGGACACTTGTTTTTACGAGAACTGTGTGATTTCATTCTTCCAAATTTGCTTTCAGTTAAACATCTGATGCAAGAAATAAAGGTGGCATTGAGACTTGATTCTGAAAATTATGGAATTCCTGACTAATAAATTTTCACTTTAATTTTTAAGCCAAAGAAACTTGCCTTCAGCAATTTTGGGAGTCTGAGAAAAAAGAAGCAAGATGATGTGGAAGAGTATGCGTGTCCGATGGAGTTGGGACAGGCATCAGGAATTGGAGCCAAGAAGGGGTTTAAACCTGGTTTGGATATCCGAGTGTATGATGACGATGATTTGGATCGGCTAGAGCAGGTGAACCAGCATTTGATATTCAGGTTCTGTGGCAGAACAGTTGGATTTGAATGGCTTCCTCTGCCTCCCTTGGGGCTCTCTAAATAGATGGTGTAATTCTGTCACTAGCAGTCATGGAACATCCCAGAATTGCCAACAATGTTTCCTGGCACAAGTCAATAGAAACTGCACATGCATTGATTTTGGGACCTTTAACTTTGTATAATTAGTTTTTCCTACAGTGCCAGAATTCATGCCCTCATTTCATCCCATGCGCAGCATAATATAGCACCTATATTGCTTAATGCATTTACTTACTCACCACCATGTGTTAGTGTACATTAATTTTTCTTATTATCTGTTCCCTATAGATGGAAGATTCAGAAGGGACTGTGAGGCAGATAGGAGCATTCTCTGAAGGCATCAACAACTTGACTGTAAGCCCTAAAAATGTTGCCGATAGAGCTTAAATGTCTGTGTTTTGAATATGCCCTCACCAAGAATATCAAACTCCTCTGGCCCCATGTGCCAGATGAATGGCCTGAGGCTGGTCTGTGCATGCCAAACCCACAGCCTGTTCTGGGACCTGTGCTCCATGCAGTGCCCATTCCAGCCAGTTGGGGGGTGCACTACACATGGCATTCACCCCTGCTGGCCTGGAACTGCTGCACGCGGTGCCAATTCTGGCTCGTCCAGGACAGTGTGGATCCTGGATGGGTTGGAGCAGGCACTGCATGCGGCATGCATCCCGGGCCCTGTGTGCAGAGCCAGTCTGGTGCAAACTGCATTGGTCAACTATGAGACCCACTGGGGGCAACTATGGGACCCACTGGGTGCTGGATAAGGGAGCTCAGCAGGCTAGATCCAGCAGGCAGCTGTATCTTTGACACCTCTGCCTTAGGCAGCCCCTTGTAAGAAATGGTCCCAAATGTCCTCATCCATACTGAGTGCAACCACCCTTCACCGTTATTAGCAGACTGCCTCTGGGGCTGTTGTAGACTTATACCAGGGTCCAAAATGTCCTTGGAATGGGGAAACGCTCAGTTAACTCCCACTGTCCTCTCCAATGACTCTTCTCCATAGTGATCACATTTAAGTTTCCTGAATTATGCAGTTTTTAATTCTTCATTTTGAGTATTTATGTTCATTTTTCCCTTTGATCCTTTTTTTAGCACATGCTGAAGGAGGATGAAATGTTTAAAGACTTTTCCACCCTCTCCCCTAGTGCCAGTATAACAGATGAAGATTCAAATGTGTGATGATAACTACCAGACACTGATAAAGAGTTCTGTGATGGGCAGCAGAACATGTACATTACATTGCTCTTGCTTCTGTTTGTTAGAAGTGACATTTTTTGGGTGGTTAGGGAGAAAAGGTGCCTATTCTAAAGTTGCCATAAGAAAACCACAAGACCCTGGTGAATGGCAGTATCGTTGCTTTACTATATCTAATGTCCAAACCTGTGCCATATTTCAAAGTATTGCATTTAAAAATAGTATGTTACCATAATGCTCCTTTATTCTTATTCATGTCACCTTGTACTGTTTCAGAATAACATAGGTTATTAAGTAGAGAGAGAATCCAATTTGTAGATATTCTGCCTCAGCCTTTACTGCAACTTTCAGCTGAAAAAAAAAAAAAAAAAAAAAAAAGGTATCACTGGTGTCCTATTTAAATAGATTTGCCCAAAGGAAATGCCATTTTTTCCTCCTGTAGTATCTACCATGGGCCTTGAGTCATGATTCCCTGCACAATTTCCCAGGTAAATCTTGACTGTTGCTGACTTATTTTTATACTGTTTATATATATATATAGATAGATAGATAGATTCATAGATTTCATAGACATCAGGGCTGGAAGGGACCTCGGAAGATCATCGAGTCCAGCCCCCCGCCCAAAGGGCAGGAAGTCAGCTGGGGTCATAGGATCCCAGCAAGATAAGCATCCAGTTTCATCTTGAAGGTGTTGTTAACACAGGGCTTTTAAAAAGAATGGAGAGATATATATGTGTGTGTGTGTGTGTGTGCATGTGTGTATATATATATATATATATATAAATAAAAATAAAAGAAAGCAGAATTTTTATTTTGTGACATAAGGTGATGAAAATTCAATGTTGTGGGGTTTTTTTTTTTGTAAAGAGATGATCCAATTTTGAAAGCCAGCTAGTTACTGGAAAAGTCAGACTGACCTTTAAACTGTTTGTTTTCTTTCCTTTTTCCCCTTTCTTTCTTTTTGCTAACCATTTTTAGCTTATGTTTCTACATTTGGGATGAAACTGTTATGAAATGTATTTTTCCTTGCATCACTTTTCTAATCTGCAATATCTTATTTTTTTCCTAACAGCAGCAGCAATAAGATTTTAATAGTTTTAGGTTTTTAAAAATATTCTTGAAAGTTTCAGCTTGAAATTGAGCACTGTCATATGCATATGGGAAGGGATGTTTCCATGCTGTGAACATAACAAAAAGCTTATATAAATAAATGTATCAGAAATATATTGTATTAAGCCTAAGGTGGGGTTTTTCCTCAAAAAAGTGAAAAAACCAAAACACACACGTTGCCTAATATTTATGCCTATTAAAAGCACAACTCCTTTCCACTTTGAAATAAATTTCTAACTAGCCAGTGAAAATCTTTTGTCAGACTTTCTACAGACCACAATGTTTTAGCCACAAAAACAAAGGTAACTCTGTTAAAATTATTGTTATGGTGTATGAATGTTGCAGGCATTTTAGCAAAATGGCATGAAATTTCATTGTTTGCCAAGGGAAAACTTCAGCTAGAATTTTTACTTGCAATGTTTCACATTAACAAAGTATTTGATCATTCATTTCATCACAGTTCTTGTTGCAAACATTGGAAAAGACAAAAAGGACCCTGTTTTAGGGATGCTTATACAATGTAATACATGTCAGATTTATGACTTGTGCTTGTGCCACAGAAGCTGGGAAAGCAGTAAAGACTTTTACAGCAGTTTTAAATGATTTCTACTTCTTACCAGTTGTTGGGATAGATTTGAGACTGACATTTATCAGTGTAACCCGATGTCAATATTTATTTACAACTATAATAAAGTTGGTAAAAACCAGTGTTGTATTGAACTCTGCCATTCCATTCTTAATAAAGGCCAGGCCAAGTAAATAATCCATAATGAATAATTTGTTCAGAAAAGAATGCTTTTCTGTGCCAGCTGTCCACAAAAAATCAGGACTTATTCCTTATTCAAAGTTACTTACTCCTGATGGAATAATATCTGCTTAATAGTTGTGGGTCTATTGCTTGCTTACCAGACATTTGTTGCAACTAATTGAAATTTGAGCTGTTCTGATGGGATAGATAAATGCTAAACTTCTCTTCCTTGGTTGGCTAAGAATAATGCTTAGAACCAGGTTTTCAGTGTGAACTCTTGTAATTATGAATTCAAAGTTTGCTTTCTGTGAATGTTGTGCAGTGTAATATGTACTGAATGGTGACCCACCTGGCCCACTAACAGCCTGGACTGTGTTACACAATGCATTATAAAAACCCAGTAAAACTTGATTCCTGGCCCTTGTACCAATATTTACTTAAAAGTCAGTTGTTGCAAACACTTCCCAGTGAAAACAGTTGCTATAAAATGATCAACAGAAAGGCCTCCCAAAAGACATGCATATTTAGATATTCACAGATTTATTTTTTTTAACTCAACCCTATGAATACACACATCAACTATTTTAGGCATGTTTCTTTTGAATGTAAATAAAATTCTGCTCCAAAAGCATCCTTTTTCCATCAGTATGCTGGCTTTCTAGGTAATATGGATGCTGTTACAACCATGCTTTCTAGGGTGCCTACAGACCTTTAGGGCCCTGCTCTAATACCTGGCACTTTACAGAAAGCACCATGAGTTAGAATGCTCCTGCCCCAAAAGAGGTTTATCTGTTGGGATGGGGGTGGGGAGGGGAGGCCCTCTAGAGCCTGCCTGCACCTGCCCTGCCAGCAGGTGTGGGCACTCCAGCAGCCTCCAGGGAGGCTGCCAAGCTGTCCTTCTCCCCAGCCCTGCCCCACCCACCCCCAGTTCTGGGGCTGTCAGTGGGGGAGGGAAAGGGAGCAGCGTGGAGCTGCCAGCTGCTTTCCCTGGCCAGAGCTGGAGGGGAGGTGGCAGGTGGAATGGACCCTCCTTGCCTCAGGCTCCCCACCCCCAGCTACCCCAGCTGAGGTATTGAAGGGAGTTGGACCAGGCCTGTGTGGGGGGGGTGTCTCCCTTCCCACAATACCTACCTGGGCCTCTTGACAGTGGCAGCATGGAACTGCCAGCTACTTTGCATATAGTAAAGTATATGCAAAGTATACTCCCCAACCCCCAAGGCAAAGGGGGCTTTATTCCACCCTGCTGTCCCTGCTCCAGCTCCGGCCAGGCAGAGCAGCCGGCAGCTCTGTGCTCCTTCTTTCCCCATTGATAACTCTGCAAAGCAGGAAAAATTTAACCCTGGAGGGAACACATGTTCACTTCTATGCATGAAGAGGGGAACATAAACTAATGTGTATTGCTATGTAAAAAGCAAATAAAATCTGTTGTAAAATGCCATATGTTTCTGGGCTTCTGTATTTTAAAGACTGGCTTAAATGTTTTTCTTAGTAGTATCTGCAGACTGTACCATACATTACATGGCTCCTGTAGGTACCAGTCAAGGAACTGGCTCACAGGGAGTGAGTGGCAGGGCAGTCCTGCTAAAGATCCCCATCTGCCAGTCTTCAGAGCGTCCCTCTGGGGCTTGTGGATAGTTGAGCCTGCAGTATACATTTGTACTTCAGCTTTTTTGCTGGCTGCCAGTTAGTGTTAGTAAAATCTAGGACATGGATTAATGTCTGCTAAGAAGGAACCACCAAGGAAACCCACAGGAAGAGGTATTGGATGGCTTTTGGACTCAGTTGTCCAGGATTGATTTTGGACCTGTATTCTAGAAGCTGTGTAACCTCTCTGGACCATCCAGTCACTGGAATAGCTCTCTCTTACTTGCCTTCAAATAGAAAAAGATAAGGTACATTAAACAAATAGTACTGGTGTAATGTGTGACATGCGTGCAAAAATTGACGCTTTGTGTGAAAGCCACCCAACCTGTTCAGCTGGTTTTTGGTAAATGAGCTAGCCAGTGAGCATGCCCAGAACTTTATCTGCTGTGCATTACTGAGACCTGTTTACATGGCATAACTCTGCCATTGGTGTGCCTTTCATCTGGGAGGTAGTGAGTGCACCTTGTATGTATTTAACAGGCATAACTTAACCCAGGGACCATACTGCTTTCACTGAGAAAAGCTGCACCCTGGACATTCTGCATGTGGGGAGTATCTTTGCTGCAGAGAAAATGGGACAGAAGGTATCACTGGATAACAACCAGAACAAGGCTGACATTCTAGTTTTATGTGACTTATTCAGCCAAGTTCTTGTCCATGCATCTCAAAAGCTGAAAGATTATCTTGGGTTGAAGATCCTCAGAGCAAACTCCACCCAGCTACAAATACATTCGATGAGATCTTTTTGATAAACCTCATCAGCTTCTGTGTTGAAAAAGGAGTGCATCACAACCAGCAAAATGACCAAGCAGCAGTTCTGGCTCTTTGGGGTTGACTGGATCTGGACACTTAAGAGCTGACAAGCAAATCAAGCTTCAGATTGCTGTTCAGTCTTTGCAGGTGGTAGAACTCCTTCACAATAAAGACAGCTCGTGAACTGCGTGGCCTCTGCAAGGAAGCCATGTTAGCAGACAAGCTCTTTTCAAACCTGCTTTTGTTTTTAAAGCTGGAAAAATTCTGCTTGCTGGTGGGACAAGACTGTCTGGGCCTCTTTATAGCATTTGGTATGCCTGGGAAGCCAAAAGATGTTAGAGGAGTCATGCTAGACAGCGTCAACAGGGAGAAGCAGAACCAGCACCTCTCAGGCACAAAAGCTTTGAGACAGTTTGTTTGAGCACAGAGAGATTCCTTGCTACAAAAGAAATGCTAGAAAACTGCCTCGGTAATAGAAATGGGCTGAGGCAGGTAGACAAGGTTTACGTTAACTTTTCAAATTGTAAATAGCTAATAGTAGAAAAGTTGGGACCCAGTTCTCAAAAAAAAATATCCAGGACTACATGCACAGTTCAGTGCAGCTGTTTAGACTGAGCACTTGATTTTATAGGAACCGAGTCTCTCCTATTTTTTAAATCTAAAAAGTTTAATAAAGAGGGACTGAATTTTAAGAACATTTTGTTCTCTGGGTAGTAATCCTTTTCTAAAATATTCAACTGGACAAAAAGCTTATCACCCAAACCTTTGAGAAGATTTGTAAAAGAGTTTGTCTTTGTTTAGAGTGGGCATAAAGACTGTAGATGGTTCTTAACTTGAACACTTGACCTTATAAAGATGTGCTCTCATTCCAACTAATAATACAAGGCACCAATAGCAGGATTTTATAATTCTGGACTGTAAATTCCAGATTCTTGAGTAATTGTAGGGATCTGTCCTAGCAAGGAACAAGACCAGACTGTAGCTAAGATCTTTCTCATTTATAACTCTTGAAGTTATTTTTTTTTTTATACGTGTTAAGGTTTAAGAGGAAGAAAGAAGCCCCAGCTGATACTGGATTCCCATTTTACAGTGTATAGCAAAAGTGCTTGTCCCTACCCAAAACCTAGGTGAGTTTTCCTTTGACTTCACCGGAGCCAAAATTGCACCTTAGGTCTTGTGGTTGAACTTAAATCCCTTATGCTATATGCTTTCTCTCTCTTTAAGAACAAGGGCTGCTTCCTGATGTTAAAAAAAAGCAGCAGCAAAACACAGCACTTTACTGTAAGCTCAATGCGTTGTCAGAACAATTCAGAATGTTAAAAAATGTATAATGAAAAAACTTAAGAGTATTGTATGTTTTACTCAATAAAAGGATTCTATGGAATGTTACATGTCATAAGTAGATACAGTTCTCTTAGGTTAGCTAGGCCAATATACTGTTACATTATGGAGAAGTGTGCGGTTTTATAGAAGACTTTAACATGTTTCAGTGTAGAAGTCATTAGTAAATGTAGCAAAAAAGCACTTACTTTAATTTTTAGGCTTAACTCTTCCTAGTGGAATATATGGCTGAATTGCACCTTTAAAAATAAGATCCACTGAAGCCAAATGTATAGAGTGCATTTGAAATATCCCATTCCTTCTAGGGACACTAGATGGCTGAAGGCCAATCTCCCATTTCACAACCTTGAACATTCTGGAGTTGGGAATAAAATGCAGAACTTGAAGACAGATTCCTTTCAGGTGAGGTAAAAGCAGAGTAGAGAGAGATGCAGTCAGTCTTCTGTTATCCAAATATTCTGGAAAGCACCTTAAGTGCTTAAGTGCTTTCCAGAATAAAAACTGTGGTAATTTCAGAGGGCAAGAAAAGGATTAGAGTCAGATAAATGGAATCTTTTCTTTTCTTTTTTGCTTCTCACCAGGTAGCAGATTTTGCAAAGTCACCTGGTGTTAGAAAGTAACATACACAAGATCTGTTGAATAACTCAACTGTAAAATATTTTATTTCTTGCACAAACATTTTGAAAAAAGCCCAGTAGCTAAATATGCAGGATAAGGAATACAAAACAGTTTACAATTGACCAGCTGAAGTTACTCATCAAAATTAAGTGTTAATACAGTTATGACAAGGTCTTTGGGTATGTTTTCCCCCACATGGATATGAATGAATGAGCACTGTTTAAATTTTCACTGGTTACTTGTTACAAAGACAGATTTAAACTTGTAGAGGAAACTATTGGTATATAATATACAGTTGTTTGAAAGAACAAATTTCAGACTACAAGAAGCACATAAGTCAAGAGGTCCCAGACAGAGGCCTGGCTAATAAAATTAAGTTAATAGAATTATTTGTCACAGGTTTAGCTTTTCCTCACTGAAGTCAAACCAGAAATTAGCCTTAAGTAGAGAAAGCCAAGCTTGTACGTAGGCACAGAGGACATGGCAAATTATCTCAGATAGTGACTTGCATCTCTGTACAATAAAAATTAGAGATCACTCGACAACAGAAGCAGCTTTTAACTAGTACTTTGCAGGCTAGTAAATGCTTCCAGCCTTCATCATTTTATTTATCAGAACAAGATCTTATTACTTAAGTTTGGCCTGCGGATCACTTTCAGACGTGGGAGTATCTCTACCTCTTGAAGGTAGAAAATTTTGGTTATGAGATGCATTAATATTAGGTACAAGCTGCTTAACTCTCAGCTACATCAAACTACTGTCCTTAAGAAGCACTTTTGGATTCAGAGACATTTTAAAATTGCTGTCAGTTTGACTTAAGGTTGAGCTGACAACAGCTTTTCCAGGCAGACTTCTACTTGAGTTTTGCTTGAGCAAAGCATGTAGGGTGGAGGCCCTGATTTTTTTTTTACCGTATAGGTAGGAGTAATTGTATACAAGGACAACAGACTATGTGGTTAAACACAGCACAGTGAAGAACTGCCTTCTGTGCAGTCATTGCTGAGCACAGCAGCGGAGAAAGGTCAGAAGGGAAGTCCTAGAGAAAAGGGACTAACCTGTCAGATCTATATAGATAGATTTCCTGCAGAGGGAACACGCACAACTGTTCTTTTTCCATAACAGCACCATCAGCTCTTCTGAGTAAAAAAACAAACAAACCCCGAGACACCCCTCCACCCCCAATTCTTCAAAGAATTAGTGCACAAAGCCTTCTGCCTTTAAGACCTCATTTCAGTGTCATGGGATGGGAATGGTTACAACAGGTGACTAGCTGGAAAAGGTTTACTCTTTATACTTTTTTAAAAATCTGAAACACAGAAAACTGGAAGTAAACTCTTCTGTTCTTCATACTGCTGTGTGTTAAAGTGATGCCTTGCACTTCTGTTGCAACCAGTTAACTGCCAGCCTTCAACCAAAAGTTAGCCTGAAGCTTTTGCTGCTGTAAGGAGTGCTGGATGATGCAGGTGCTCTTGGCCCCCTTACTATAAAAGCGTTGTGAGGATTATGATTTGGTATAGCAAGGTACATAAACATGCACTCTCAACCTCATGAAATACCAGATGTACAGTGTTGGTAAGTAATTAGTTACTCCTGATTATAGCATTAAGTCAACATAATAGTTCTTCTCCAAGAAACTTCTACTATTGGCTGGGAGACTGAATATAATTCAGTGGTCTTTCTGTCAGATGCAAGTGGTATGTGCACTGTAAAAGAGTACCACACACCACTGTCCAACTACAATATGGTGACATTCATGCTGTACCAAGTTTTGGTACAGCATGAAACATAATACATTCTGACACTTTTTTTAAGTCTGCTAAGCCATGAAGAAATACGCATTTATAATTGAAATGGAACTTCCCAGCACTGTGTATCACCCACCCTTGTGTGTATTTTGTCTTGTTCCCCATTAAATGCTTTTCCTTCCATGATTCTCTCCACCCTACTGCATAACCATACCCTCAGTCATCTTTAGTAGGAGAACACCATGTCCTTGATGTACCCCAGCTTGTCCAAGTTGGGGGTGCAAGCATACTGGATCATTGGAGGAGGACCACACATTAGGATCAGAACATCGTCTTGAGGTGGAGGCATGTGGTCTCTGATCATATCTTGATTCACATACCCCTGGCTATACTCCCAATCTGAATGCAGGAGGAGAAAGAGAGACAGACAGAGATGGTTAGTGTTTCTGGACAGATCATCACCCTCCTTTTAAAAGATGAGAATTGAGAGAGCTGGGAAACATGAGTGGGCGTGTGTAAAAGTCAGACTTTAAAGAGGGAGTTAGGCACCCTAAGGCAGGTGCCTAACTCTTGTACACATTCTCATACACGAGCTCTGAGGCTGCTCTAATGAGCTGGAGTTCCAGCGCGTCGGCGCAGACTCAATCAAATCTACTGGAGCGTGGTAATTGATGTGCTCCTGCATCAGTCTTCCCATGATTAAAAAGGGTGGTGGGGGTGCCTGAACTAAAGCTTGTGAAGCTCTCCTTCCCTTGCCCCAAGCACGTGTAAAAGTGCCCCCAGTGATTCCTTAATTCATAAGTGTTTTTTGGCAGAACTCTGAATAGAATTCAAACTTCTTGTGCCTAATCTCATGGAACAAGACCATTATTCCTCCACAGTCCACTAGCATGCCTCTAGGTAAAGGCAGTCCTCAACTTGCAATGTTTTGAGTTACAATGTTTCGCACTTGCATCATAAATTGTGATATCAATTGACACCGTTTCAACTTTGACACCAGTTTTGACTTTACAAAACTTGATCCAACACCACGCCACGCCAGCAAACAAGTTTGCTGCATTGCCTATCTCCCTGGAGAACATCTGTCCAAACTTCCTTGGACATTTTTTTTAAGAAAGCAGATAATCTTCAGCCAAGACTCCTGACAAGACTCCAGCCAAGAACACTTCAAAAAGTCCAGCAGTCACCTCAAAGAAGTCCTTCCAAATCAGTATCATTGCTATTTACAATATAAAAACATTAATATAGCTATATTACTCATCTATAATTGACTGAGTACAAAATTCTGGGGTATTTCTGGTGAAAATAGGGTATTGGGCCTTGGTTAAGGAACCAGCCCCCCATTTACAACATTGTTTCCTATGGGGAAATTGGTTCCAAGTTACAATGTTTCAACTTAAGTTGTAGTTTTCAGGAACCAATTGTGTCGTAAGTCCAAGGACTGCCTGTATATAACTACCAGAGTAGGAAACATTGTCAGAAGAGAGCATTCCTTAACCTGCCATTTGTACTCAGCATGCAAACTGCTAATGTAAACATGAAGGTGCAATTGGCTTTGTTTTCCCTCAGTTACTGGTATCTTCTAACTGATTCTTGCTTTAATAAGTTATTGAAACTAAAATCCTCCCAATGGTCCTTATTATAATCAGTTTTGTCCATGCAAGTTCATATTTACTGTCAACGTTGAACATGTCAAAAGGTGGAAAAAGTAGCCACATATACTCACGTAAATGCACGCTAGCTTTTACCTAAACAGAGTAGCATAGCTTTGGAGGTATTAGTGAAAAACAGCTTTCTTCACATAATACAAACTCGTGCACAGCTCAGAATGCAGCCAGTGACATTAAAAGGTAGATTGAGCTACTACTGATTTGAAGCTAAGAAGAAAGGGAACATGTAAATTCTTACTCTCTGGTGCTCTATCCAATGTGTACCAAAGGTTAAAACGGTCCGGATATTCAACCCGGACTTCCTCTAGTTCTGGGCGCAACAGGATATCCTTTTCAGTCTGCAAAAAGAAAGTTTTTTATGTTACATTTCTACAAAGATCTTCAACTGGACTCTAACGTTATCAAATTAAACCTCTGAGATCTCGTACTATAAGGTGGCCATATGCCACAGTTTGGCTGGGACGGTCCTGTGTTTTGTGGGCTGGTCCCAGCTGGTTGGTGAAACTTGAAACAGAAGTCCTAGGGATGCAGGGTGCAGTCCACAGTGGGGGTGGGGGGGTGGAGCAGTATGGTATGCCAGACAGGCTCTGTCTCCCCACTGAACTGCACCCCATGCTTCTGCCTCCAGCAGTGCCACTGACTTGGGAGGGTGGGCACTAGGGCTGTGTGAAGCTTTGGTTGCCGATTCGATTCAGAGGAGATTTGGCCTGATTCAGCGGCCGAATCTCTGAACTGAATCGGGAGACCAATAAAAAGGTCCGAATTGATCTGAAAATTCAGAGGAGATTCAGGCAGTCCCTGCTTGCGGCCTCAGGGAGCTGGACCCCGACTCCTGCTTGTAAGTAGGGGGCGGGGAAGGGCTGAAGGAGGGGGGAGGGGACCATGGAGGGAACCCCCACCAGGCACCCTGAGCACTCCAACCCCCGCCTGCTCTCCCAGCCCTGTCGGTGCCTGCCTTGTCAATGCGTGCCCTGCCTGACCCCAGCATCCCGGCACGCTTTTTTTCCCCCAAAGCCCCGCACTCACCAGCTGCTGCCAGGCACGGGGGGGGATCCCCGCTGCCCCCTACTGCGTGGGGGGGCTCTGCCATGAGCCCCCCCCCCCAATCCCCTGCCCGCTCTACCAGCCCAGTCAATGGCTTCCCCGCCCAGCCCCAGCGTCCTGGCACTTTAAAAAAATGCCCCACACTCGCTGCTACAGCAGCAGTCAGGGCCTTTGGTGGCTCATTGGTAGAGCTCCCCCCCACCCAGCATGGGGCAGCAGGGGTCACCCTACCTCAATATCACTTCAGTTTTAAACATGGAAGATAGAAACAAGATTTAATGCAATTGTTATTCCTGGTCTTGTCACTTCCACAACACTGAGCTTCCCTTTAAAGGGACAGAATAAAAATGTGCCTGATCTTTAACCAGACTGCACTGTAATGGGTTATCAGTCATATTACTACATAAAGTGAAAAGCTCTTTCAGCATCTTCAGTAGCAACTAACTCAACTTTCATAATAAAACCTAGAAAATGCCTCCCCCTACAGCTCAGAGCTCTGCTCTACATATTTGATGATCCCTAATCTTCTCTAATACAAATCCATTAACCAAAGCCAACACATCTTATTCCCACAGCAGCAGCAGTGCTACAGGAGAGCAAGCATAAAAGACATTGATACTCTAGCCAAAGTGATTTGACACCAGAGAAAAAGAAATATTTGGGAATGCAGAGGTGGACAGAATGTGCCAGCACCTGCTGTTGAAATGGCACCTATTTCTGAGTCTGACAAACATGAAAGAGCATCCATTACAAGAATGCTATTTCTGGATCTGACTGACTTGAAACAGACATCTAAATGAAAGCCATTTTAGTGAGGCAGAAGTCACAAACAGTACATTAGCCACAGAAGTAATTATTAAATGTAGGTATGTTAAACTCCAAGGAGGACATGAAAACAATTCAGTAAGGCCGTAAATAAGCAAAACAAGGGAGGAGGTAAATTAGGTTAGAGATAATACAGGACACATTTATAACCCTGAACACACATTTAGTTGGGGATAGAATCTGAAACAGAGAAGATAAAGAACATCTTAGAGGAAATGGCAGACAAACAATTCTGTATTATAGTATGATGATCAGTTACTTGCCTGTCACACAAATTGGGAAAATGCTGTCCCTTTGTCTAAAACTCTGCTGAAGCTACTATATTTTTAAACAAAAGGTTGGAGATTTTGATCTTTTTTCCCACAAACCTAAAATGATAGTAATCTTTTCAAATATTAAAAAAAAGTGTGCCGAATTGATGGTGCACAGAAATTCAGCATGAATTTTAATAACAGGGAGACAGGATGAGAGCAACTGGTTTGAAAGGCAGACAGATGTCTACATTATTTAGGCTAAAGACACTTGAAATTGAGACCAAGTCCTAGAAACTTGTTAGTGACTGAAACTTTGGCATGTCTGAAAATTATTTCAGATTACCATGAGAATTAACTACTTTTTTGGTTAAGCCTCTTTTCAGTAAGTGATCCGATTGTAAATATGAAACAAACTTAGGTCAAAGCATATACCCAAAGACAACACAAGTTTGTTTTATTTAAAAAACAACATATGTTATATGCTTTTTGTAGGTTTATGTACAAAGATTCCAGTTACCATTCTAATGCTGCTGCTGCTGACATATAAGCAAGCAGTAAATGAGCAACATTATTCCATTTCTAGACTTACTAAAAACCATATACTTAGAAAGATTTTGAAAGTACTGAAGTTACATAGTTGCTCAAATATACAATTATACCATAGTCTCACTGGCAGCCAATTTAAGGCATTTAGTTGCAATGCTGTATTTAATGTTTATATTAAATCATGAAAATGCAGCTTTTAAAGTAAGTGAAGTATTAACGAAAAAGTAGATTTAAATCAATCAGTCTCAGGTCTTTGATAATTTTGATCTCTGGTGATACTTAAATTTTTAGAAGCAAAACAATGACTATATAATCAAAATATATTAGTTTATTGTTCAAAAATACCATTATTTAAAATATTAATATTTGTGTATTTATGTACATTACCATAATATCAACCGTATACGTTTTACACATAGTTGATATGTTTAAGACATTCTATGTAAAATTTATTAAAATACCAACTTTTGAGATTGACCATATATAAAGCAGAAAAGGCTGTTTAACAAAGGTAAACAAAAAATATTACTGCAGGATAAAAAAAAACTTGATTTGTTGATGACATTGCTTTCAAACCAATATACTGTAAAACAAAATCACCAACTGTGGTAAAAAAAAAAAAAAAATAGATAAGTTATATATAGCAATCAACTTTGCTTTTACTATTTTGGTATATTTTATGGCTTATGTCCAAAAATTAAAATAGTAGGAGGTTGTAGCAAAGCATCACCTTTTTACAATTTTTATATATATTGTGAACATACCAAAATAACATTTTACTTAAAATTGCCAGTGGTAAAAGGTTCTTTCTGCAAAATATTCAAAATTGAGCTAGATTTGCTTATGTGTTTAACAAAGTGAAAATAGTTCTTCCTGTAAATAATACTCAGCACAATAATAATTTTGTATTAAACAAAAAGATCAGTGGTAAACTATGAAAAGCTGATTATCGACTTTTTTTAATGAAACAAACCTAGTGTCTAGCAACTTTTTTTCCAAGTGCCATTCTTTTTCAAATAGCAACTATTACAAGTAAATATGCTCATATCGAATAACAGTTGCTAATTTAACCTGTGTGCACAATTTTTTTTCAATAAAACGATCATTAAAAACTTAAGACTCACACTGTCAACCTTTTAAGTTTTGTAAGAGTACAGGTAGCATTGTCTCACGGCACAATGCAGCAGCTTTGAAAAGTCACAATTTGAGCATGGGGCTCAAGTGCAATATGACTACTATTAAATGCTTAATTTGGGGTTAGGGTTTTATAGTTCTGAGTGGTATGGGTGCACTGTGCGTGTCCTTGGGAAATTTTTATTTTAAAGGAAAACATTCACACCTTGCAATAACAAGGGCAAGAGTTACCTGATTAGCAAACAGAAGATTGCAAACAGTGGGATCATCTTTATCCTTCATGATGGCTCGTATAAGTTGTAGCATGGGTGTTATCCCTGAAAGAGGAATGCAATTAAAAAAACCCACACACACACACCACACAGACGGTCACCTCTGTTTGCGAATGACAGAATGAAAATGCATTCTTACATACCAGTTCCACCTGCAATCATTCCAACATATTTCACTGTTCTTGTAACAGGTTCAGATTTCTTGTCAGGACGAATAGCAAACTTGCCTGGAAAAGAAAGAGAGAGAGAGAGAGAGAATGAACATGAGGTGAAATAACTGAGGGAGGCTGTGAAACAAATTTAAAACACACAGGTCTTGTGATTCTCAGTCCTTGGATCTAATTCCGATTTTCACTGATTTGTTCCCAGGCCTGGAGCATGTCACTTAACCTCTGCCTCAATTTTCCCCATCTGTAAAATAGGGCTATATAAACTCCTCTCTCTCAAAAAAACTGCTGTAAAGAAAACATGTTGAAAATAATTAATAGATACCACTTTGCAGAGACAAAACAAGGGATACTAATGTCTCATAACTAAATGGGACTATTAACCCTTTATTTTGCATTGAACCTATTTACATTTGAGTAATGTCCAACCAAGGATCAAAAAGCCTTGGTGCCAGAAATTGTTTGCACAAAGAGAATATAAGCTCTCTAAAAAAGGACAATCTACTGCTTTTTCTGTACATAAAGATTGTTTTCATGAGAAATCTCAATTGTTCAAGGAGAGAAACGGCTCATACAGAATGTGAACACTATTTAACATGCACAAAAAAACTTAAAAAGAAACACAGGCCATACCAATTACTACATGGACCTGACTTTTGAGGATATTGCTGAATGGCATAAGGATCAGATGTAGAGAAAAGCTTACACATTTATGGTTTTCTCTTCGCTGTGTGTTTTTTTTTTTTTTTTTTTTTTTTAAAGATAGAGTTAATTTCCTGCCAATTCCCTTTAACCATTGTGATGTGTCATGGCAGTTGTGGGCTACACACAGAGGCTACAAACAACTGTACTTTTTATCCTAGGGATCAGAACTAGCTTAGGTTAAGCCCATTTCTTTATTTCTATTGTATACCCTGCATCACAGCAGCCTGGCTAAAGGAAGTAAGATTTAACTCTTTTGTTTCTGTGTTGCAGATGGGACTGTGTGTGTAACGGCCAGAAACTGAAGTGGGATTTTCTTCAGCCTAGTCTACACACACCATTTTCATAGTGACAGAACTGCTGGTTTGAGATTGGAATTTTCTGTTGACATTGTAGTGGGATAAACCAACATAATTACAGTGATATAAAAAAGGTACCTATACTCAGGCAAAGTCCATGCTATACAAACAAAATGTCCATCGGGCATCATGTTTTTATATCAGAAAAAGCCCCATTTTAGATATAATTATACTGGCATCCATTTTTTTTCTGTGGGCATAGTTTATTTCACTAAAGAAAAATCTAGAAAGACACTTATGCCAAAAAAAGAAAAGGTCTGGTCTTCATAAGTTGAATATATCGTAGGCTCCCCATCTCCTATGGGATAGACTACTCATGTTATACCAACATACTTAAAGCAGTACAGTTCTTGGGCTGAAATGAGGCTTTAATCTCACAGCAGAGTGAACATTTATCAGTTTTATAAAAATGTCTGTGCCTTGTACTCTGGATACAGTATTTCAAACTCAGTCTTGCCTTTTCCTTGGTAGACAAGTAAGCCACTGGGTCCCCTAAAGTCAATGGTATCTCCTATTTTGAGGCTGTCTAAGTACTGAGACATCTTTCCTCCATCAGGGAACTTTGGATGGACCCCTCTAAAGTAAATCTGTAAAAGAAAAAGGATTGAAGGGAAGAGTTGGGTTGAGTTAGAGTTACGGGTAAACAGGAGGAACAAAGCTAAAAACAAGCTTCCATAATACAACAGAAAACATGGCATGCCTAAACTCCTCAGTCAAGACAATGTATTACTTAAGACGGAATGCTAAAGGAATACACCAGACTGATGCATTCAAGTTTTACCAGTTAGTTACCCCAAAAATTAAGGTAAGAAAAAGGGTTTAAACTGAACCAAGATGAGCTCCTCTTGTGTTGGTGCAGGTGTCCAGGGCTAGAGGGACTTGCTTTGGTAAATGGTGAAACTTTCCCATGTGGAAATAGTAAAAACCCACAGAGCTGCCTGTGATAGCCAGAATCAGAGGGGTTAATAAGCAATAATACGCGCTTCTCGGAGGCATTTGGTATTTTGCCTAAATAGGTAATATTAGTTAATATAAGCTTGTAAGTTTGTAAACTGCAAATGTAACTTGTCTGTCATAAGTTTAACCAAACTGATAAATTAACTGTTCATGGAACTGACTGGGCCCCAGAGGTAAAGCTGTAGCTGTGAGATTAGCTGGCCTAATGGCTTTTTGCTCAGGGTTCAGCTTTAGCGATAAAAACTGGATCTAACTGCTAGGCACACCCAAACACATTCCTGGAAAGCGTATCCCAAGAAAGCATATTCAACTGAAGCCTAAAAAGGGTTGGGATTTAGGCGGAGCGATGTCAATTTCAAACCTAAAGGTGCTGCATCATAATTTGCTTATTGGATAAACCTGAGTCTGGGTAGTAACCTTTTATGATAATTTTAACACCTTTCCATCCCATAGGGTAACAGCTATAGGGCAATACTGTGAGTGGCCCTGAGGCCAACAGATTAGCATAAGACTAGGTATAAAAAACACATGCATCAGATGACCAGTAGGAAGGAGGGAACAGAATGGTCATTTCTGTCCCATGCCCGGACCCCAGACTCCCGGTGTGAGTGAGGATCGGATCCTGAGCAAGGGACCTTCCCCAGTAATCCCTCTGACAGCATCGATCATCAGGGACTCCTGACTTCACTGGAATCACTTGGTGTGCACCTGGCATTGAGGGACTATTGATAAGTTGCCAACCCATGTCTGTCTATTTGTTGTTTTGAACAGCCCAGTGTGGCTAATACCCTCACAGTGCCCAGTTGGCCTGTGACAGATTTATCTATCTATCTGTTGTTATTATTTTACTATTAGCTCTTTTATACTGCCTTATCTGCTTAATCGCATTTATCTTTCTGTTAACTGTTGTGTGTGTGTAAGCTATAATAAATTTGCCTTTATTCCACTCCCAACTTTTGCCTCCTCGATCTGAAACTGAATCAAACAGCCCAGTTGGCCTGTGATAAAATTGATACACTCACAGTGCCCAGCTGGCCTGTGACAGCTGCCCACAAAAGGGAAATGGCTAACAGAAGAGCATTGAATTTATAAAAAAAAAAAAAATCTTACTCGGAAAGTGAAACAACTTGGAAGAAGAACTACAAAAAGAGTGCAAGAGTTTAAAAATAAGTTCTAGCAGCTTTAGAAAGCTTTCCTGAATAACTCAGCTTAACTGCCAAGAGACAAAGATTCAGAACTTCAGCAGATCTAAACTCACTACTGAGCCAGCGAGAATGGTTGTGTGGTGCTGGGCATCCTATCTTATCAGATTCCATACTTAATAATCCCCCTACATTCATGCTTATGGTACTATATTATTCATGAATAAGACCAGAGAAGATCCAACAAGTCTGAAAGCTTCTTAAATGCTAAAGAACTGTGTGAACTTCTACAGATTGGGTGTCTTTTAGTAATAAACTCTGGGAACTTGCACAGAAGTTGTATTAATACCTCTGTATTAACCAAAAGTCACTTTTTCCTCAACCACTACTTACAATGGATCAGTGTGTTGGGACTGAATGGAATCTAACAAGCTCCGATACGATTATAATGTCCAACTTCACACGCACACCTTTTTATAAGATCATATTTTCTACTTTAACCCTAAGGGCACAAAGTAGCCAGGTACAGCACACTAATAGCCTTACCTTCACAACAAGATCCACAAAGCCTTTGTCATCATCACTGGACACAGGTGTGTAGGGTCTGATGACCAGATTCCCATCAATCCGAGTAGACAAGTAGATGTGCTGTCCTAAATGCAGAAGGGGGAGGGGGTGAATAGTTTACTTTTGAGGGGCCATTTGAGACAGTCCATAGCATGACATGGTAGAACTACAAGCAAGGCGATAAAGTTCCTTTACCCCTTTGTTCCAGGGGCAGCAATTTTTCCCTTACCATCTGGTACTTCCATATCACTTTGCCATATTTCCTCCTCCAGCATACATAAAGTCAAGCAGGTACAGATGGTGGTTCAGCTTTTACAGCTGCTTTATCCTCCTTTTCAGGGAGTGAGGGACAGCAGAGATTTGTTATTTACTATAACAGCCATAACTAAGTTAGATTTTATGGAGGGTATTAATATATTCCACCAATACAGATGTGCAAAAAAGATACACAAGAACAACTCTTTTAGACACATCATTAGCACTTCATCATCAGTCCATAACAAACAGTTTATATCTGAAAGTACTATTGTGAAGATGCTTGGGGAAGCAGTTGATGGAAGCAGGAGGTCCATGCTTCAAGTTGCATTGAGGTTTACATTTAAAACAGGATTTTAATTTTATTTCCTAAAGCCCTGACTTCACCCTTCAAGTTTTAACCCTTTGTGGGCTAACAAACCCTTTCCTTTGGGCAAAAAATCTAATTTTTCTCAGTCAATTTAGTAAAAGTTTGGGTTTTTTCCCCCCACTCCCCTAAATTTCTTCCTAAGGTTTTAATACCTGGAACGTTATGGCTAGGGAATGGGGGGGGGGAAGAAAGCAGACTTCCTAGACATTTTCACTGTATCTGAAGGATAAGACACCTTCACTTTATTAATGCTTTAGCTTTAAATGACTATTTTGGCTTATTTCAGCTCTATAAAGATAGGTTGGATGAAAGGGTCCAATTCTGCCAGCTGCTGATCTCTAATGGTACACGAGTTTGTATGCCAAGCTAGGATGAAGTTGAATCCAGATGGTAAAATGTGTGTGGATGAGATATTGGTGTTTTCCTGAATTTGTAGCGACTTGGAATGCAACCCTACATTAAAGCTGCATGGGAATATGTAGCACCACCAGAATGCGAGGGAGTTAAAGTATTTCTGACATTATACTCAAAGTACTTTTCTACTGAGTCAGTCAAGGAATGAGGCAGTATATGCACACGAGAGAACTTATATATCAAGTTGTTTCATTTTTTGTCAAGGAACATCATATCAAATTACCTCCCCTCTCTTCCAAGACAAGTTTTGCAGTAAGTTCACTTAACTAGCTACAGCTGTAGATTGCAGAAAGCAAATCCTGCCAGATAAAATCATTGTCAGGGTAAGTCATTCAGGAGGTATCTATTCCTCTCTGACAGTAGGTCTTCCAGAGGGAAGGGGCAATTCTTCTCTGAGTTTCACCTTTCTCCACAGGTAGGACAGCAGATCCTGAGAAAATCCTTTTCATAGCCTCACAGGCCCTCTTCCCTTAGAACTCTACAGAAAAAGTAAGTCCTCCCAATTTGTAAAAAATCAGAACCAAGTATTGGGCCAAGACTGTCTATCTCACATGAGTGTCACAGCTGTGAAGGGTGACCTTCATCACCCTTTTGTTCTACTGTAACACCTCCTCTATTCCCCACACCATTTTGTTAACAAGCCCCAGCCATTTTGGGCAACACACTGAAGTAGAGTATTGATTTGCTCTTGTCCTTTATGACAATCTTGGCTGAAAACCATGACAAACTGACCATGGAAAGTATCCACTTAACTAAGCATGTGTGCTGAGTGACATTACAAAGTAATACAGCTACATAAAAGATTTATACAAGGACACAGCTGTAGTTTCATGTAATGGCAATATACAAAAACCCAGTGTACATGTGTGTGGGTGCACATGGAGAGAGAGTAATGGATAAAATGTATACTCATGCTGAAAAGGTTTGAATGCCTATAGAGTAGACATGCCTGACAGCAACCTATCACAGGCCTGGTTAAAGCAGATACTTACGATAAGTATCTTTCCTTTAGGCTAAACAGAAAGGCAATCAAATGCACTGTTATCTGCCAAGATTTCTGGAAACAACAGAAGCTGTGTAAGGCTGTATGTAGGCTGCATAGCAAACCCTGTGCAAGAAATTGAGATTAAAACCTAAGGGGCTGTGATTTGCATGTGTCAAACAGCTGTGTCCTGAGATGGGCCATGCTGCTTTGCAAGAGCCATCTCCTGAGCCAGAAACAGTATAGCTGTGTTCTGTTTCCCTCTGCTGCAGACAGGCTAGTTGCCACTGCCTCAGCTGCGCTAATCAGCCAAACTCTAGTGCTGCGCTACCATTCTACACTACTTTGGATTTAAGGGATAGCTCGAATAGAGTACCCCTGAGAGAGTGCTGCTGCCTGCTATAAGTCTCCCACATAGATATGCCCCAAGAACAGTTTTCCCCCTGACCAGTTATAAATGCAGGGGGCGGGAGGGGTAGAGGACTATCTGACAAACTACCTTATAGGAGAAAGCAAGAGAAGCAGCTGAGTGCTGCTTTGAAAGCAGAGGGAAACAAAACTTCCTAGGAACAATAGGCACTTACATACATGCAGGGAGCCTGTTCTGACACGCTGGAAATCCAGTAAGTCAGACCAAAATTGACAAATCAAGTCTGCTGGAGCATGTAAATTGACACACTGGCAACCTTGCACGTCATGTGCATCAACAGGGCAGCGTGCCTCCGTTGAGAAAATAACAGTGGTGTGCTTTGAATTAAAACACATTTGATGTGCTTCAGTTCAAAGGGCACTGCCACCATTTTCTCAGCAAGGAGGCATGCTGTGGATACATGTGACACATGGGTGCTTTTAATTAGCATGGCTTGCTAATTAAAAGCACCTGGCACCGCATCAGGAACATGTATAAAAATGCCCAGTGTCTGTTGGTAAGGCAGGCTTGAAGACTGAGCAATGAATATTGGCTTTTTTTCCTACAGTGGTCAAGGAAGTAGCATGTACGTTGTTTGGAAACAAACAGCACTGCACCAAAAATATATGCAACTTGTATTATCAATTTTTTCTCTTAAAAGAAACAGCCAATGGTTTGGTCTTAGAGTTATTTGCTCAGGCAAAACTAGCAGCAATATTTAAACCATAAAGTTTAGCAATTCCACACACAAAAATATTTTTTGTCAACTGAAATATATTCATGACATTTTAGGGGAAATTATAATATTAGTAAAATTGAATGTGTTCTTTAAAGTAGTTCTTAAGAGACCACTTAAAATTCTGCAGTCAGAATAATTAACAAATTTGCTGATTCATGATGAAGAAAAGCCAGGCTACCAATGTGAATACGTACCTATAGGGAGACCCAGAATGTGCTCTCGAGTTGGAAGGGCAAAACGAAATCTCCTTGTATCATGGCTAACTTCCTGAAAGACAAAGAAGTAAATCCCATTGTTGGTAGTTTACGATAGACATGTCAAAGCTATTTTCATAAGTTAGTTTTCCTCTAATCCTGGAGTGTTCAACTCCCAGCCCACTGACCAAATCCAGCCTGCAGAGCCATGGCATCCAGCCCACAGGGTTCCCTACAGATCAGTAAGTTTGGCTGCAGGAGAGCAGTGACAATTAACACAGACACTCCACCCTTACTGCCAAATATCCAAGCACTGCATGGCCTGATCAGGCACTGCCCATGCAGCCCAAGGGGTGAAAAGGTACCTAGCACTAATCCATGCAAAATGTTTCAATGGCATGTGCACACTAAGGATCAAGAGAATTTATTCAGCACTCTTACCCTGCTATGTCAAAAATCACTTTCCACTCAAATTCCTTATAAGCCCTACTATTTTCCAAATCATAAACATCTGACACCATATAACAGAAATATCAGACTAACTTTGAATATAAGCAAGACGCATACAATACATACGTACATGTGCCCCTGACTGAGCATTTGGTACTGTGCAGTCATTTAGTACTTCCTAGGATGCACCACAAAAGATTTTCTTGGTGATACCAATAGCTGATTATTAACTAGCTATATTGGCCGATATTGATCCATTAGATGATTTACAGGAATGCAGCTTGGAGAGCAGCCTCTTGCCAGTAAGTCTGTGGGGAGGAAGGTGTGTGTGGGGGGGGGGGGGCAGCGGGCAGATGAAGGCCCCCACAGCAAGGGAGGGAGTGGGGCAGGAGCAGGTGCTGCCTATCCAGGTCAATGAATGCGACCCTGGGGCTGGGAGTGGGATGCAGCCGCAGGCAGCTCATCCATGGGGTGTGCGGGGTGGCTCTCCATCACTGAGCACACCCCTGGGTGAGGCATGGGGGGCATGTGCCCCCCCAGATCTGTGCATGGGTGACATTGTGTTGCCTGTGGGCTTGGGGCCAGGGGCTGTGCCAGCCTCTTCCCAGCAAGGGTCTGGGCTGGGGGTAGGCACAGCTCAGCTGTGTGGGGCGGGCAGTGGTAGCAGTGCTAGGAGGGGTGGCTATAGCCGCCCCCCCAAGCCCTTGTGTCATGAGTAGGGGTGGTGCTGGGGTGGGGGAGGAACTTGGGGGGGTGATAGCCACCCCAAAATTCCCTGTAGCCCTCTCCACCCCATAGCCACCCCTCCCAGCACCGCCACCGGTCCTGAGGCTGCAGCCCACTCTTGTTGCTTGCACAAATTCAGGGCGGCACGTGCCCCCCATTCCTCTCCCAGAGGTGCATGCAGTGGCAGGGAGTTGCCCACCTCCTCACCCCCCTGGGACAAGCTGCCTGTGGCTCTGTCCTGCTCCCAGCCCTGGGGTCCTATTAACCGCCATGGCTGGGCAGCCCCTACCCCTCTTCCTCTCTCACTGTGGGGGCCTCAATCGGCACACCCCACGCCCCTTTCCTCCACAGACTTGCCAGCAGGATGCTGCTCTTAAAGCTCCTAGGCTTCATTCTTGGCTGTGTGCGTGCCGCAGCTGTGCATATGCATATGCATGCGGCATTTATTGGTGACATTATCAGCCAAAGCAAGGCGGTTGCCAATAATGTTAATTTTCCTGTTATCAGTGCCCCATCCAATATGCGACTAATATATTGGTGCACCTCTAGAACTGCTTTAGCCAGTACTAAATGATTATGCAGTACCTACTGGTACTATGCAGTAGGCCTGTGTGAGTAGGTAGGTATTCAATCTGGCTTCAGATCCGGCTGCTTCAGATGTCAGCGATCCAATCCGGAGCTCTGGATCAGTTTGCCGCTTCGATCCGGCTGAAGCAACTCCGAAGCTTTGGAGCCGCCTCAGAGATCTGGCCGTAGGCTATAATGGGGGATCAATTAAATATCTATAACTTTGTTGTTCTGCCTCCCATTTGGGTGAAACTTACAGGGGTAGTAGCCCCTGGTGAGGCCACGAAGCGTGCCAAGTTTCAAGAAGATAGGTGCAGAGGTTTGGGGAACTGCACCTCAAGCTGCTGACAGGTAAAACTCGTGATGTAGGTGGGTGCTTGGGCAACTGTCTGTCTTGGGGCACACAGGCCCCATAGGCGCAGCTCTGAAAAGTGGTTTGTACATTCAAACAAGCACCTAATCTCATCACCAGGACTGAAGCCAACTTCCTACAGCTCAAAACACAAAACCTGCCGACTATCTCCAGTACCCCCACAAACTGCACACCAGAATCTATCAAAGACAACAAAATCAAACTACCTGTGGGGGCACATTCCTCACTAAAAAAACACTCTGCCTCCAGTCTCTCAGGCCTGATCCTGAGAGGGAACAAATTACAATGCAAACCACTTTTCAGAGCTGGGCCTATGAACTGCACTTCATCAGCCTCCTAGGTAATATGTACAGAAACTCATGGACTCAATATACACAGTGGCATTCTGGCACACTGCAACCTGCCAGACATCTGACACCACAGGCACCTCTGCACTTTTACCTGCACTGCTACATCCCCCTTTCCACCCTACCATCCTACCCCAGCCTGTCCCTCAACCCCTGACGCCTCCATTTCCATTTTCACAGACTGGCTTTCTTGCCTGCATTGCGGGCCAGGCCAGCCTCTGGCTTCTTTACTATTCCTTTCATCCAGGACCAACCGCAGGTACTTCCTCAGCTCGACAAAGGGGTTTTCAACCCTAAAGCTGGCATCCCGGGCAGCTAAGCTGAGTTCACCGGGAACCTCACAATTGCACTGCAACCAGCAAGCGTCAGGCCTGTCAAAGACTTGACGGGTCTGGGCATTCCCAGCCAGGACTCTGTGCGTGCGTGTGTTAGCTGGAGGTTATGGTGCCTCCTACCCACCTTTTACCAGGGGATCATTGGTCCTGACATTTATGGGGCTGCTGCGCCACCAGCAGTCCCACCAGGCCTCCCTACCTTGGTAGGCTGCAGTTTTAATGGTCGTGCCCAGGACCTGGGGCCTCCTCCTTCCCCATAGCCCCAATCCCATACCTCCAAGTTCATCCTGGCAGGGGAATGAGCTCAGCAGGGGCATGTTCTTCTCCTGCTGGCTGGTGATACAGTTAGTGCCCCCTCAAGCTGACAGTGGGGCATTACTCGGCTTTTAAAAAACTCAAGAAAGGAAATTGGTGCAGACAGAGTGAGGGTGGCACTCAGTCCATCTGCAGGTGAAGCTAGGGGAACCCCAGCAGCGGGAGGTTCACCTTTAGGAACACCAGCTTCTCTACCAAAACAGGATCCAAGCAAGTGCAGTGGGGTGTCACAACATCCCCAGTAATACTGAACATCCCCTCACTTGGAACACTGGTTGGTGGACAGCTGTTGCCAGGCAACTGTGGCCAGATCCTGCCACATCTGGCTGCGGTTTGCCCAGTAGGCCAAGGCGTTGCAGTCCAGTGGCTCCACATCCTCAGTGAGATAGGTAGCCACTGAAACCTTGGCACTACCTGCCCCAGGCCGGGGGCTGGTGGG